TCCTACTCCCCATTAGCACCACACCCCCCACGCCCATCGCCTTCCGGAGAAAAACTCACTTATGCTGCATGACCCGATTCACAATGCAGTCATCTGCATAGGTACCCTTATGGTCACACTTGACCCTCTCAAACCTCGGGTCCCTCGCAATCCTGAGCGCAATCCGATACCGCGGCCCCAACTTCTCCAGCTCCGCCATGACACAGTCAGTAATGACCGGCGTCGCCTTGGCATACAGACAGTCCATCATGGCCTGAATAAGCTCCAGCTTCTTCTGGATGCTGAAGTTGATGAAATTGGTATCGACCAGGACCGAGTATGGCGGGCGGAGGGCCTCGTTGAACTGGAAGAAGAGCGACGATGCAACTTGTGGACTGTAGAGATGGTATAATTAGCAAGACGTGCAGGTGGAATGGGGGGAAGAGTGGCGGTGAATAATACATTTCGCGGACGACTTCGGCGGACTTGTCTTTTTTGGGCATGGCGGTGGCTTGCTTGAGCTGGTTCTTTTTGAGGCGCGAGTCGCGGGACGAGATGACGCGCTTGACTTGGGCGAACTTGCGGGTTTTCTTGTTGACTCCCATTGTGATGTTTGTGCCTGTGTAGTGGTAGTGGTGTGTCTGTGTGTGGTTGTGGGGGAGCTTGTGGGCGAGGTAACGTGCTTGTGCAGGTAATTTTCTGGAGCGTGAAAAAGTTCGAGTCGTGGGTGCGGCGGGTAGGGTAACAGTTCTACGCTATTAATTGGTTATCACGTGAGGGGCGCACTAGTACTCGTTCTACTGAATTACTGACTACCAATATTGTAATAAGATGGCAGGGTTGTAGCCTTATGATTATGGTTGGATAAGGATAATCTAGAGATCCTACTAGTCGGAGAGGCTGGGGACGGGCCCAAAGTTTGGACGAGGAAGTGCGACTTCTTACGTATGTACCATGAGTGGTCCTAATTGGTCTAGAATTGCATATTGGGCCACAAATACTACGACTGAATCATTGTGTGACGGACAGAGCATATATCACACAATTAAGACTTGATGATGAGCTCGAGGGAAAGACTGGTTCTCGGATCTGGTGGCTATTTATATGGCTATCTTGTCATACCACATATCTCTTTATCTCATCTCTCCTCTTGCATGGTCCAGTTATAATTATGCACCTCATCATATACATTATTTTAATAACAGCACTGGCTAGCTATAGAGCGCCTAGCACTACTACATATTCATGCAATATTTGCCGGAGTTTTTATTCTGTCTGGCTAGAGTGTATATATCGCAAGGCTGTAAAACAAAATATCCCATAATCTGGCAAACAGTGGCATGTTTGACGACCCTATCCATTACTCGCGCGCTGAAAGCCAATGCCCAGATGCAGAGCCAAAAACATCATAGATCGTGATATCAACCATTTTATCAATCTGCCAAGACCGCTTCAGTGGCTACCGGCCCACCAGCACAAGAAACAATACACGCCCCATCGTGTCATGATCATGCAATAATTATCATTACTAAGAACGCTCAAGCTAGGTACAAGTGTACTCTTGGATAGAACACACTCCTATACTATAATCTATTTCTCCGGCCGGCCCCCCGCACCCCACCTCCTATCTCACGCTAGACAGGTCTCGAATAAAACCACGCCTCCCAATATCAGAAACCCAGACGATAAAGAGATAGTAAATAATAATACATGCCAAAAGCCCAGAAGAAAAACGGACGAATAATAAAATAAAAAACGGCAAGAAATTGGGTGACGACCAGGTACCCCCCAGTCATAATCTTAATAATAATGAAAAAAGAAAGAGTAAAAAAGGAAAAACGACCCCTGAGGTAAGTAGTACAGCCATGATATCAAATGCAACCGAACCCAGTGTACCAAGCGCTGTGCGGAACACAGAACTAAAGTAGCAAATAATAATGATACAAGAAAAGCAAACAAAAAAGGGGAAACAAAAAAGCAAGCAATGCACTATGAAAAAGAAAAGCCAGTAAACAATAAAAAAAGAAAAAAGCCGTGAACAAAAAAAATGACAGCTGATTGCTAAAGACCCCCGAACTTTTGTGCGTCAGAACAATCGACATTCATTAAACGTTTACAAACTTTTGCGAACCCGTTGATCGTTAATCACGTCAGTTCAGAGTCAATCAATGACAACAGAACATTTCCAGCGCGCACTCATTATTCATCATCCGACGAGTGCGTATCTCTGTCGATAATTGGTCTCGCAGGACCCAACTCTCTTTCTCTCTTTTCCAGCAGACTCCCGGGAGCAAACATGCTTTTCTGACCAGCACCCAGCAATGGTGTAATCTCCCCATTCTTTCCAATGGCATCCCGCCCGTTCGCAACCCCATGACCCATCGTTGTAGCTCCAGCGCTGTGATAACCATGTGACAATAGCCCTGTACCAGTGAACGCTGTTTGCTCATCATCACTTTCCCCACGATGACCCCTTCCCTTCCCTGTGTTGGGCCTCTTGGTATGGCTGCTCATCTGGTAGGTTGGAATTGGTGGTAGGTCAGACTTTACGAGCGAAATCAGCCCGCCTTTCGCTTTTGTGTCCTGTCCCGACACAGTGTGGCCTCTTCCTCGCCGGCTGTGATGAGGGAGCGCTGGAACCGGCTCATCTTGGTGGAAATTTAGAAGGGTACCCGCTTGTTTGTGCGCAGTTGATGGCCTAGAAACAACAGTTCCAGCCCTCTGTAGGGGCTTAGATGATGAGGATGATGTATCCACCAAGGGCTGACGGTGGCCTGGAGGCGGCGGCGCCTGTGCCTGTGCATTTAGAGCAAATTCATTATGCGGTTGCGATCGCTCTTCCTTGAAAGCCATCTGTGCAAGGCGCCTCTTGTCCTCATAGTCTGAACCCAGTAAACCCCCCGGAGAAAATACCTTTCCGTCATCCGAGTGGCTTTCTGGCGCCTTTGGCGATCTTGCCGAAGGGCTCCTATTCCTTCTAGTTTTCGACCTTGTAATTGATTTATCATGACGTACACTCTTCCCCCTTTGAATTTCCATCGCAGGCGGTTGTGCCAGATCCTCCGGTGATATCAGGGGTTTCTGCCGATGACGTCCACGGCCAGGGGACCCGGCAGGGGATGCCGTCTTTGCACTAGCGGACCGAGCATCTGAATCGGATTCGACGGCGGTCCACCATGCGAGATCCCTTTTCTCCGCGATCAAGCGGCTCTTGAAATCCCTAATCAAACTGAACCACTCCGCCATCTGTGCCTCGTTCTCTGCAGCAAAGTAGTGACAGTAAACGGCGCCCTCGCCAAACAAGCTTAGCTGATGTTGGGACTTGAGCGCGAAGCAGTACTTTGTCGGGCACCTCAAGCGCTCGCTGGGGTGATGCGGGTCCGAAAACGTGTAGGCGTCAAACGACTCAAGTGAAATTGTTTGCGTGAAATCCTTCTCCGTCGGCCTGTCCTTTTTGGCGATCCGAACCGAGCCGTTCCCGAGTCTGATCCACCGCCGGGACCACTTCTTTTCCGCGTTGTTGTAGTAGTGGAACTGCGCAACCCCACTGGCTGGCTCTTCCTTGGGAAACTCTTTGACATTGAGATTTGTTTGTCCCCAAGCCCACTTCTCGACCCTCAGGTGACAACGGGTGTTCTCCGGATCCCAGGTGGCAACAACATCACTAATCAGCTCGAAATGACGGACTTGTCGCTGAAGCCCCAGTGTTGGCCATGATTCAAGCAGGATGCGTTCTTTGCGAGGTCTCGCCCGCTTCAGGAACAGGTCTGCATCTGTGGTGTTGCATGTGCCCATCTGCTCCACAACTCCTGTGTCGAGGTGACAAGGAACCTTAAAATCGTAATTCTAGCACAAAGAGGGGAGAGGTCAGCACAAACTACCACGCACAAAAAAAAAGCACACATTCTGCAGCTTAAACAAAGAGCTCCACATATCAGAAATCGATTTATAGAAATAATGCATGTCCTCGAATCCGGGGAAATCAAGGGGGATTAGGGGGTAATTGTTGGCTCACCAATTCATTGTAAGGCGAGTATTTCTCTGTCGCCGAAGACCCCATCAACTTCTCCAGCGTCTGGTCGATAATCTCATCCCTCTTTGTGTAAACCTTCTTTGGCGGAGACTGTGAATGGCTCTTTGTGAGCTTATTCGGACGGGGTAGCGTAGCGGGAGCGGACTGTGGGATCGGTGCAGGGGGCGGCGAGACCTCCTTGGTGTTGAGACGGAGGATCTGTCTGAACTTTGACGGCTGCCGAGTTATTGGCTGTGAGGTAGCATTTGAGGGATGGCTGCTGTTGTTATGGTGGTTGTGGTTGCTCTCATATTTCGAGGAAGACGATTGGGCAATTGGAGCTGCCGGAGCTTCTACAGTGGCTGCTGTGGGAGTGTTGGCTAGCTTCCTGCGAATAGTGCGGTAGCGGGAGGGAGGTGCTGCTGCCACCGGTTGGCGTGTCTCAGTTTCTATCATTGTCATGGTGGCTGTTTTGTGAATTGGTCCTTGATGCTTGTTGGGTAAGGAAGGAAGGAGGAGGAAGGAAGGGTGAGGTTATTCGGAGGTAGAGGAGATGTATAATGTATACTATGGGGGGGAAGAAGGGAGTCGTAGTAGAATGATGTAGGTAGGGGTTCGTGGTAATGTCCGCAATGCAATGCAATGTATTGTATTGTAATGTACTTCAAGTATTGTATTGTATGTTATAGCGAGTGAGTACGAGTGAGCGAGCGAGCGAGTGAGTGAATGATGATGCAAAGGGAGCAAGAAGAAAGAAAGAAAGTAAAATGATACAAAAAAACAGAACCAGCGGTAACGAAACGACGGTACCGTTGGTAGCTTATATGAAGGAGGATGAATGGGGATTGAGGAAGGGAGGACCGAACTCTGCGTAGGGCAGGGACCTCAGTGTATATGTATGATGTATGTAGGGGGAGGTAGTAGGGTTGCAATTGTAGGCCCGGGGGTTAATGTGGGTGTGGGCTGCCCCGGGAGTTAAGTACTTTAGACCAGAAGGGACCCCAAGAGTTCATATTGGCCTGGTCCTAGCAGTTGATCGGTCGCGTGTGAGCTGCAGGGGACGACTCTTGCTACTACTCAAACTAGTAACATGTAGGTAAACCTACATGAGCAGTAGAGTACCGTACCTACGCTCTGCATGCGCGCGCGGGTCCTCACTCGACGACGTTACCAAAGAAAAACTCCCGCGCATGAAGGAGACGACTGACTGACTTACTGACTTACTGACTTACTGTTGCCCTTCCTTCTGCTTTTTTCTCACGAGGCGAGAGGCGAGAGGCAAGAAGCAAGAGGGAGGCGCTCAATCAATCATCCATCTATCCAACTACCTACTCCATGTCCACGATCCACCACCACCACCACCACCACCACTACCACCACCACCCCCATCACATCCGCCCCTCAATCCCCTCAATCCCCTCACCCCGGGATGTTGCGTAAACCCGCCTCCTACCTTCATCTGTCTGCATCAGCCTCGAATAAATGCATCACGAGGATAGGTACTTTGAAAACCAACGACGATGACGATGTGATGAGATGATGCGGATTGGATGCTGCCAGCAACTGGAACAGCCACCACCTCCATACCTCTCTCTCCATACTAACTAGTAAAGCAATTAGGTACGTACCTCTCCTCTCCGAAACTCCACAAAAAGTAGCAGCACAGCCTCCACTACACACAAACTAACAAACTAGTTTATTCCAAATTACAAATTATTTAATTCACAAACTAAAACAGTCCCCTCCTCCCATAAACCTTTTTTCCTGTGATCCAGCTGGGGAGCTTTGGGACTCAGGACTCAAAGACAAGACAACCAAGACAAGAAAGAAAGCAAAAAAGTCACACACCAATGGTGGTCCAATTTCCCGTTCATGGTCCTTGCGCCCCTGCCTGCCTTTCCAAGCCAACCCTTTCCCCATTCATCCATAATCCATATCCCCTCCCTCCTCCACCCCCGCCGCCGCCAGGCACCTGACACCCGCCTCCAGGTCTTCGCAAACAGGTAACGGCTTCCACTGGCCTTGTTTATTGCGCGCTCAAAGAAAGCATAAAAAACAAAACTGGTTTTTTCTTTCTTTCTCCACTCCACTCCACTCCGGGTACGTAGAGTGGTGAGCGAAATGACGACTGTTTATGATGATGTTATTTTCTCATTTCCTCTAACTTCATGATGACCGTTATTTCGTGTTACGATTACGATTACGGGGTAGTGCTTTCTTTCTTTTCTTTGCTGCACTCTCTCCCTCTCTTTGCCGGTTACACTTACCCGTCTCTGCTGCTGCTCGCTCGCGATGTGATTGATGCAAGCGACAGGAAGGGAGCGAGACGCATTTCTCTTTTGCTTTTCCCATTGGGCAGCCGACGGTTTATTGGCGTTACCGGGTTGGGCAGCATGCCAGAAGGAATTTAAATGAACGAGATGAGCATGAGCAGCCTCGTCTATTTACCTACATAGAACATCCCCTTCGATCCCTTAACTTCACTTTGCTTCCCTTTAACCTTACGTGAGCCCCCAACCACAAACTTTGATCGTGAAATTGAAATGGGCAATATAGAAAGAAGAGGGTTATATGAACACCGAGCTCGTAAAGCTCTCAGTCATAATTTCGAGAAGATGGTATTAGTATTACGAGTAAGCCAAATCTCAACCCTCAATCTCAACCCCAATCTCAAAACCCCAATCCCAATCCCAATCCCCAGACCCCATATCTCAGCCCTACAGCACAGCACGCACCTCGCACCCATCTCACCCCATACCATGGTCCATTCCAATACCTACTCATAACACCTAACCTAAATACAATAACACCATCGTACCGTATCATACCATATCAAATCTCCCTCCCTGCCTGCCTAGGCATGAAACAAAACAACCGACTAGAGAGAGAAAAAAACAAATAATCAAAAAAAAAAGCGCGCCGGAGAATAAACAAACACACCACCACCCCTCTTTCTGTCTCGATCGCGGTGAAATGCGGCGCGGAGAAATATTTTTTCTCTCTCGTATATGTATATGTATCCGGTCTGCAGCGTGGCCCCTACATTAGATAGGTACCTAGATTGAGTGAAATCAATCCCTACATTGAGTAGATTAGGTAGATAGAGTGGAATCGATACTTATCGATCCCTACACCCGGATATGGCGGTATGAGGGATAGCCATGGGAGGGATGGGATGGGATGAGGAGGCCTAGGGATGAGATATCGTGCCTGGATTGAACGTGGATCTAGGATCTAATAGAACAAACACCTAGAACAACACCTGCATAGAACCAGTACCGTGCCTATAGAAGCACACTCTACTCTACTGCCCTCTGCACACCCAAGGCTCAAATCCCAAGAGAAAGTAAGTCTCCCGGTTCACTAGGCCTTCTACCTGGTAATGCTACTTACTACCTACGGCAATTCCATCTTGACCAACCAATGCAGTCAACAGCCGGAGAGAATAAATAAATACGATCGATAGCTTCCAACGGTTGACTTGACTAGCTGAATTGCGGCGTTTAAGATATAGTGGTGCCTTCCCTGCTCCCTGGTTTCTCTGAAACATTGCCCCCATCCAATCGCGCGGTCCGTGATTTAAACATATAATTGAATTGGCGAACGGAACGAGAGAGCGAGAGGGGGCGGTTAAACGTGTTTGTGGACCCGGGTGGGCGGAGGGGGGGATCGCATCGCATCGGATTGTATTGGATCGCGAGGGCGAGAGGGAAAGCTTGGTAGGGTTATCACTCACTCGCCGCCCGGTGTGGCGGGTAGTGTAGACGGGTTCATGGCTTCTCACTCACACCTCATTCATAGCATCTCACTCACTCACTCGCATGCACCAGTCCCTAATGTAGCAGTCAATTGCAATTCCAGCTATCAATTGCAACCATAGCTATCTACCCATTCTATATACCCATTTCCAGTCTGTCCGCCTACTTCTTCACCACATACTCCTCCCACCCGCCGCCCTCCAGCCTCTCCACCTTGGCCATCACCTCGCTCTCCATATCGTCCACATACTTCTCCAGCGCGCTCCTCACGCCCCGCCCCAGCTCGCTGTCCTCCACCGACAGGATCCGCAGCGCCAGCAGCGCGGCGTTGGTGGAGTTATTGATTGCGACCGTCGCGACGGGGACACCGCGCTGTCAATCACCATTGTATATCAGCACCATTCAATTTCACAAATACAATGAAGAAGAAGGAAAATACATACCGGCATCTGCACAATACTATGCAAACTATCCACACCATCCAGCGTGCTCCCCCTCACGGGCACACCCACCACGGGCAGCGTCAACATCGCCGCCACCATCCCGGGCAAATGCGCGGCCCCGCCCGCGCCCGCAATCACAACCTTGATGCCCTTCGCGCGCGCCTCCTTCGCAAACGTGACCATGCGGTCGGGCGTGCGGTGCGCCGACACGATCGACACCATGAACGGGACGTTAAAGCGCTTCAGGATCTCGGCGCCGGCCTTCATCACGGGCAGGTCCGAGTCGGAGCCCATGATGATTGCCACCACGGGGTTCGGCTCTGCTTTTGTGGTAGGGGCGGCGGTGGGGGTGGTGGAGGTGCGGCCGTCGGCAAGGTCGATGAGCGGCTGGATTTGGTATACGGCCTCGGCCATGCTGCCGGCGAGGAGGGTGATGTGGCCCATTTTGCGGGCGGGCTTGGCGGCGCCTTTGCCGTAGAGATGGACGGTGGCGCCTTTGGTGGAGAGCGCGGCGTGCGCGACGGTAAGGTAGCGCGGGCCGAGGAGGTTGAGCATGATGGCGTTTGTGGAGGGCGTGGAGAGCGCGGTTGAGTGCGAGGGGAGCGGGAGGTCAGTGATGGCGCGGATGTGCGCCTCGTATTGGGAGGTCGGGCATGCTTCGATTGTGTAGTGGCCCGAGTTGTGGGGGCGCGGGGCGATCTCGTTGATCATGAGGTTGCCTGGTGGGGATAGTCAGTTAGCCATACAATTCTAGCTGTATATTAAGGGACTCCCGGGGGGTCCAAATACCATCCGGCAGCAAGAACATCTCAACACCAAACACCCCCGCACCCCACAGGCACCCAACCGCCTTCTCCGCCAGCCTCCTCGCCGCATCCTGTACTTTCTGCCCCACCCTCGCCGGCGCATACACCAGCTTGCAGATGTTCTCCTCATGCACCGTCTCCACCGTCGGGTAGCTCACCACGCTGCCGTCCTTCTTGCGCACAACCATCACCGCAAGCTCCTTCACAAACGGGACCCACTTCTCCGCATACAGCGCGCCCGACGTCAGTGCCTCCAGCGCCGCCGGTACTGCCTCTGCAGACGCAACGACGTGGTTCCCCCGGCCGTCGTAGGCGAGTGTGCGGGCTTTCAGCATGAATGGGTAGGAGAATTGCTGCCCGATGGATTCGAGACCAGCGGGGGTCCGGTCGGTGAGTGGGACGGAGGGCGCGGTGGAGACGCCGTGCTGCGTGAGGTGCTCTTTTTGAAGGTATTTATCTTGGATCACGCGGATTGTCTGCCATGATGGTTGGACCTGTCATTGTACCGCGGATGGAGCATTGTGAGTATATATTATAGATATATAGCTATGTAGTTTGTAGTGTAGAGAATATAGAGATACCTCGACGATGCCAGCCTCCTCGAGCTCCTGCAGGATCTGGGTGTCAACGTGCTCGATCTCAACGGTGAGGAGGTCGCACTCGGTGGCGAGTTTGCGGATTGCGGAGGGCTCGGAGAAGGAACCGTCGACGTGCGGGTGCAGGGCGTTGATCTGCTTTGCGGGCGAGTTGGGGGCGTCGAGGATCACGGTCTTGATGTTGAGTCTGTGGGCGGCCTCGACGAGCATGCGGCCGAGCTATAGGTCGTTCAATTCTACCATTAATATTATATCTATGTAAAACTAATATTACTAGAATGGACTGGAGGGCAGCTACACACCTGACCGCCGCCGAGGATTCCAACGGTGCGTGAGTCCTTCTCCATTGCGATTGCTGGTGCTGTCAGTGCTGTGGAGTGGAGTGGTTGTGGTTGTGGTGTTTCTGATGCACTCTCTTTTTTTTTTATGTGTGCTATGGTGGGGTTTTTTTCCCTGTCCTTCACCCCGCGCTGTGTGACGAGAGCCATCCTTCCTTCTCTGCTGTCGCTTATCAGATCTGCCAAGAGCAGAGATAACTCTAAATCCATCGCTCGCGCGGCAACTCCCGCCCCTAGCGATAGCTGTGTTGTGTTGGCCGCAACTGCAGCGGACGGAGAGCGACAGACAACATGGAGCTGCGATAGCTAGGGGTCTGCCAATCGGATGCAGCCTGTAGCAATAATTGCACTTCGCCGGCTGCAAGTGCGGGTGGCACTCTGGCGACAGGGACGGAGTGACCTGTACCTGCGCTGCACGTACGTCTCGGGGGCTACAACTGCAAGTGTTGCCGTTGCCGTAATGATTGAGGTCCTGTACCTGCTGGTCTGTACTATGCCACCGGTGTGAATATGACCTGGAGGGCTTGGTGGTGGGTAATATACTTGGTGATATAGGTATAACTACATGAGGTAGGTAGAGTGCCCGACGGCAAAGGTACCGATCCATAGCAGTTTATGCGGCACCAATCCGCGAGCCTTGGGATGTCATTGCATAACATGTAACGCCGGCAATACCCAGGATATGTTATGTCTCTGGTACCTGTACCTGTACCTGTACTCTAGAGTACCTGCTCTAGCCCATACACATCTGAGACCCGTAAACACCCGACTGAAAAAGTCAATCCTATAACGTGTCAATTAAACTGTCTTTTTGGACCTTCAACCCTATACATGTATTATACATACTTTTTCCCCAGCCACAGTGTATGTATCCCTCCGTATTGTAACCCGATGAGCAATCCAGGCCCCTAGCTAGACCCCCTGAGCCACAGCCACGAGAGGGAAGCTTAAGGAAGAACCACGAAAGAGGTGTATCACCCCCACGCTGGCCTGGTCATGGCGGCGTTGAACAAGTGCGCATGTGCACGGTCTCAGCTTTGGAATCTGGCCTGCTCAGTAACCCCCCCTCGATCGGCTGGATTTGAATTGGCCGTCTTCAATATAGTCAGCTACATGTCTATACTCGAGGAGAAACCCAGCCTACCAGAGCTCTCTGTCGCATAACCGTATTAGTAGGACCAATGCTTGGCAGGTAAATATTGTTGTATTTTCGATCATTGACCTATACTGGTTTGTTTTTCAAAGTATAAGAGCTTGGATGGGTTAATTTGTTGCGTTTGCTGATTGATTTGATAGATTCTGTAGGATTTGAAGTCCCAGCGGCTAGTTATCTAGATGAGGTGTCCTGATCTTCTGAACACCGTTACATGAAGTACGGGATTGAGATTCCCGAGTATGTCCACAGCGCTGCTTGTGGTACAATGCATACTGGGTCTTTATATATATAAATTCAATCTGTTACTCCGTAATAGAATTCTAAGTACAAATAACTGGGATATAAAAGAAGTGGTTATATATATATTCCAGATACACTTCATACACGATTCGCAGGTTCTCAGTTGAACCCACCATCCACCATCCTTCGATACTACCAACACACAGTACCCATTTAACCCACTGCCAGCTACCCCTCGTCCCAACACACAGTATCGTGTCTATATGTCCTCAACGAAGAACACAGCACCACAATACCAAGACCCTTGGCAGAGTACAGTTGGCGAAAGTTGGTCGGCGAAAATTGAAGGAAACGTCACCTTAATGGTTATTAGTATAAATATTGCTCAACTACTCCTATTCTTGTATACCTCCATCATCATCATCATCATCGAAGCATTTCGGCCAAGTTCATCGTCTTTGAGAGCAGTTCGGCTCTTTAAGAAAGCTTCAATTCGATTCCTCTCTCTCAAGCCTCGAGGTAGCTCAAGAAAACTTCAATTCGTCTTTCTCGGCTTTCGATTCATCTTTCGCAATCTTCGACCTATTCTCCTCATCAAAAGACTTCAACGCCTACAAATCAAATTCACTTCATCAAGACGCAACAATGTCAAACCTATCCGGGACCACCCTGAGCCCAATGACCTCCAGAGGCAACCGCTGCCCTTACCCCCCTCCTCCGACAAATATCTTCTGCGCAACCCCTGCTTGCCGCGCCCACATTCCCCCCACCGCCATCAACCTCACCATTGCTTCCTGCCATAACTGTCGCAGAGCCACCTGCACCCTTTGCGGGAAGCGCTTCCACGCGCCTAAACCCGCCTGCCCCGCTGAGCGCATTGCCAGCGGCCTCATCTATAGCCTCAGGGCCCAGTACCTCAAGGACATGCTCAGGCTCGGCGACGAAGACACCGCACTGTTCCGCGCCAATATCCTGCCGCCCTGCGGTGACGAAAACCTCGGCATTTCGTGCGGAGGTATTGAAGTTAAGGATTCGATCCTGAGGGCCCGTAGAAGGAAGCTTGAGGAGGAACGTCTTGAGATTATCGCCAAGTTGAACGTTATGCGCCAGGAACGCATCGCGAGATTCGTTAAGGACATGGCGTACGCCGAGGACTTGGAGGATCAGAAACTTAGGGCCAAGATGGCGAGGGCTATTGCGAAGCTTAACTTGGACAACTAATCGTGGTTTTCTTTATGATGGTAGTTGTGGGTTTGAGGAGTTTGGGAAATAAGGTGTTCAGGCATGAGGTATCACTCGGTTGTCTTTTTCTCTCTAATTTTTCTAATTTTTCTTTTTACTTTCTTTTTTCTCGCTGGGGTTAGAAAATTTAAAAATGTAACTGGCTGTTGATATCTCATATAGATATCTTAAATATAATGATACCTCTTTCTCGCTGTATATCTGATCGTCCTCGTGAGTGCTTGCCTGTGATTGGCTAGTTTCGTAGATCTTGCAGTGTGTGCTACCAATATATCAACCGAACGGCCTCTATTACACCTTCTGATCTGGTTTGGATCTGCAACCAATGTTATAACCCAATCTTAATCAATGCCATCTTTCTAAGAAATAGCTCTGATCATGCTACAATATGCTATTACAACCACGACCACCCAAACCCCACTCTAACACTTACGCCCACAAGACTCCACATGATCCAAACCTAGTAGAACACAAGAAAAAAAACATCGATAGAACCAATTTCTTACTAAACCGGAATAGATGTCTCATTGAGCCTGTCCATCTCGCGAGTGATGGCTCATGATCCACCACCCCACCTCACGGTCATGCAAGGCAGCCGGAGCGAGGATTGTGGAACATCTTCTCTAAACCCGAGAGCAACAAAGCACAGGATCTCAGGCCGTGTTGTAAGATTCTAAGATCTACATACGCAACTGGGGTAGTACAACTATCGACCACCGGGTCACGGAAATAACTATATGGAGACTTTGGTGGTGAGTTCAGTTTAGCTTATATTAGTTTTGAGATTCGTCTCGAGACTTACTTCAGGTCTCGAGACTTCCAAAACCATGATGGGACGAGACAAGGCAAGACGAGACTTGGTGCAAAATAGTCTCGTCTTGCCTCATACTTATCGACATTAGGATTGTGTAGCCCGTAGAGAAAAAGTCTAAACCCAATGGCATCACAGATCACCTAATAGGTTATCTGCAATCAGCCGTTGCGTTCAAATAACATTTCCCGCCCACAACACACATGGGCGAGTGGCCAACCGGTTAACACTCGCCTTCCGGATACACCGAGAGGTTGTGCCAAGTTGTACCTGTCGAAGGTCCATGGTTCAATCCAGGGGTGGGGGTTGTAGATATGGCGGCTGCCATCAATGCAACCTTTTGCAAAAATTAGGAACATTCAATTGAAACGTACACGTATGCTTAGTGCGGTTTTTTTTTTTTTGTTCGGAGGCCAATATCGTGGCCCTGGATAAGGAAAGACCTTATTGGACTGACTGGCCGCTGGGCTTGCTTTTGGACAAGTTGCAACGCGCGGCCATATTTGGCCCGGCCTGTAATTCCTGGGGAAACCGAGCCTGGGAAACCGAGCCCGGGGAATAAAAGTAGTTTAGCACGCCCTGATTTATTTTTTTCTTTTTTTTTGCTTTAAAGTGCATATATTGCAATACCTACCCAGTGGCTTTGTGTTTTACAGGTTGTGGTGTGTGTGGCATCGATGTAGGAGTTATTGGTAAATACATACATGTAGGTGATTGTTGTTTGGTGGGCACCGGCATCAGCTCTTACCTCACCGACCCGACCAACCCAATTAACAAGCCAATCCTCTCCAGACTGAGTACGGCCGAGTGTATTCGGTGCAGCTACTTGTAGGCAAGAAGAACCCAAAGATGGTTTCGAGACTATGGCTCGAGACTCGATAGTGGGTGGGTGTGTATCCTGTGGCAAAACAATTAAATCTCTACCAATTCCGACGCTAATGAGGAAATTCTATATGCCACAGGATACACACCTACATGTATGTACCTTCAATCGTGTCTTGAGCCATAGGAAAAAAGCTACACCAGATTGAATCCGTGCTTGCAGCTTGCATTTTCAGATTCTTATTGTAAGTAAAGCGGCATTCTAAGAGATAAAAATAGATGATCAAGTCGTTTAGAAAAATTACTTGGTCATTTTCCACTAATTGATCATAGATTTTGGGTGCGATTTTCAAACTTTACGCTAGTGAAACCTTATTTCTGATCCTACAGCTATAAATATGTCTCTCCCTTCCCTTCTTCTCTCCAAAACCTCATCATCATCATCATCGCCACCACCACCACCACCGCCACCACCACCATCAGCAGCATATCCACTGCTAATGGCAGCAGCAACGGTGGCAGCAGCAGCAACGGTCCGGAGCAGCGGTACCAAGATACGAACTAGATAGAGATAACGACGGACAGAGATATACCGTATCTGCAATAATATAAATCATAACTGAAATGATAAATTAAAAAAAAAAAAAAGGACATTTACCTCTAAATGACTAGTCATTTATTAACGGTAGTCATATAAATGATTATTTTAAAAGACCTAGTCATTTAGTCTCTATGACTTTGTCACTTTTATACAGTAAACGACTTAGTCACATATCTTATGCTCCTAGAGTGCAGCCAGGGCCGGGATATATCTACTGTTTCTTGTTCACAAGTACCGCGCGGTAAAGCAGACTTCATGAGTGTTCATTGGGGGATGATTGATACTAGGGAGGGCATATGCAGTCCGTACGTACCAGGATCTAATTAACTAGCCACGTTGCTTGAGATCTTACTGGTCGTGAATAATAATTTGGGATTTGAGATCCAGAGAGGATAGACGGTACTTGTTAGGCTTAGTTCCACTGATGGGGGTGTTTTGATGGAGAGATGGCGTCTATGGATGATTGGAAACACCAGCTAGGTAGATCTTAAGACGTCACGATCACATGGTTAGGAGGTTAGGAGAATTACGGAATTAAGCACGTTATACATGTGCCTGTATATCTGGGTTAGGGTTACGATCGTTCCTTCCAGGTCACGATACCCGTATCAAATTTCCAACCCACTTAATTGACCAATAATCTCAAACTCAATTCTATTACTCTAAACTGCTACTAATTAAACGTCTTTCTCTATCTTTATCATCTACTAAACTATGCATGCGGCGCATATATAACGGCCCAAATAATAGGTGTCGTGGATCTGGAAATATCCAAAGATCGAACTGCCTAGCCGGCCTGCTATGCATGCCTTGTCATTAATTTCCACAATTAACGGGTGGCCGGTTACTGTGGCAGTCTAGACCGTATCGCGGCACTTCTAGTGGTCGGGCCAGGCAGGTGGTAGCTACCAGCTAGCTCGCCCGGGCTCGTCGGTACATCAAGTAAGTACCAGTTCACGCACACTCACCGTACCAGTATCACAAGTATCCCAAATCTCTCCAATTACTCTACCTACCCATCTAACCCACCTAACTAACTATCCTGCTGTAGCTTCGTGTCTTGTCGACTCAAACATCTTCAACTCCCACCGACAGCATCCACAGCGGCCGTGTCCACAAACATCAGTAGCTACCGGCCCACCTTTGATCTTGAGCACCACAACCGTGTTTTTGCACGTTGGGTACGTTTCACCCGGTATCATGACGTTTCTGGTGTTGCATTCGCAGCAGGTCCAGGTGGCTGCGGTGGTGGTGGTAGTGGACGTCATGCCAGTTTTGCGCTGCTTGCCGGTTCTGGATTGGTACATGGTTTTGCAATTTGGTTGGTTGATTGGTTGGTGATTTAAATGGGATCTGGTGTGTGTGGGGGGGGGGGGGGAGGTGTGGGATTATGGTATGTGAATTGTGAGGGTGTGCATTAGTTATTGGGCGGGTAAGATTATATATATGGGGCTGGAAAAGGTGGGGGGAGAGGTGCGTTTGAAATAAAATGCGGGGGATGATCATCTTGAAATTTTTTTGGGGCAAATGGTTTTCGAGATTTCTCAAAGCAGAAGAAAAGCTTATGTAGCTGTGTCACAATTTTTCATCCGGTAACCTCCGGAATTTTTTTGTTCAACGTTTTTTTACTGGGCCCTTGTTTATATAATGGAAGCATTGAGTATTCCTTCTATCTGTATTCTTTCGTCTAGAAGGCTGGCTGGTGCCGTACTGTGTATTGGTCACGCCACATTCCTGAAATATTCAACGCCCATTCCTGTCCAATCGCGAATTCCTCTATTAAATTTTGTCAATGAAACACGCCCATTGCTGTAATTTTAATTTGCTGTGGCGATATCCAGTGATAAAAACCTCGCATGCTCGATAGTCAATAAACTCAGCGCTGCCATTGGCAAATTATCACTAGATATTAGCTTCCGCGGGGCGCCCTGTATTATGAGTTGGCGATGCAAGCCGGTAAATAGCTTTCAGCAAGGGCAGTTAATGTCGCGTGTATCCTTAAGGTTCTAGGCCGGGGAACAGAAGATATGATTGGTGTCGACTGCTCGTATTGGGGGAAATACGCCCGTATATGCGGCCTAACCTACCATCTAGCCCTCTCTGTCCCTCTCTGCCCCTCTCTGCCCTCAGAAACGTTTATGCGCTGCTTCTGGAGTCATCGGTGAAACAATCGCTTTCATGCACCTCAATACTGTAGGTGCATATTAGTGAATAAAGGGCCAACCTATATCTCAAGTCTCCTTCAACAGGGTGAGAACGCTTCAAGTTGCTATTTCTCCATTAGTGACTCCTGCCTTTGTAAAAGTATGACCAAACCGTGTTTATTTGAGCTCCAAGCTTTCTGGGTTACGAGCTATAAGTAGGTTTTATCAGTAGTTTGTGTGACTCTAGTCACATCGCAAGGGAACCTTAAAGGACTATATTATACTTCATAGTACTAATATTTCTCCACATTAGGGATCATAGCTCCAAGCTAGGGGTCCACGGCCATTGGTTGCCAAGTGGATGGCTTCCCGGTATTGTGAAGGTAAGGATTATCCATGCGAAAAGTTTATAGTTGTGCGACTGAAGAGAGAATAAGCGTTTCGCCAGATGGCATTACTAAATCTGAGGCGAGACCACAAGTGTAGTTCGGGTTGGTTGGATGCGGTTGTGTTTGTGAAGCTAATATCGATATATGAAGTTTTTTGGGCGTGTCTTGTAGTATGGTGAAGCCGGGCGGTTTAAGTCTGGCAAGATTCGGTAGATTTGGTAGACTATGCTGATTTTCAGGATTCCGCGGCGCGCGAAGATAGGGAGTTTCGGCAGTTCTTCAGACGGTTTTCTTCGTAACTCTCAAAAGTAGACGCGCATTAGGTTTAAAGAAACTTCTAACTCGAAGCAGCTGCGCAGTGTTAGAACTTAATTAAACGAAAACAAAGATACTCCGTGAATGACGCAGTAGAAGAAAAAAAATCTGTAGCTAGCTGTTATTTCTGCGTCGGAGGTAATGCACGAGAAAGGCCAGACGACGTAATAAACAAGTTTTTGCTCAGGTGAGTTGGCGATGTACGTTGTTCGGACTGCGAGGTTGTTTCGAGAAGAAGGAGAAACCGCGAGTTTTGTTCCATCTGATGTGAGTTCATGGGATTAGAAGTTCGATTGAAGCTTCGAACTTCGATAAGAAGATAAGCTAGATTTAAAAGTCGACGTCCGTTGTTCGTGCATAGTTCGTTTCTGAATATGTCGTCTCACTGTGCATTCAGGGCCGGCTCGTGACCATTCTCATGACTTGAGGTCGAGGATTAATTTTGATTACCTGCGTTCCAAAAAAATATGCTAGTTGACGTGGTGGTCTTTGCAGATTTTTTTTCCGAGGGAAACAAAGTTTCTCCGAAGTAAATAAAGCGATGAAATTTTTTATCTTGTCATTTTTAATTTTTCCTAGTGTACCGGGCCAGGTTGGTTTTTTGATTAGGAATTGGGAGGCGAGCCCGGTTCGACAAATACTGATATTTCCAATAGGCTGCTGCTACAGTAGAAACTTTAAACTAACAATTAGCATCTGGGAGCAGGGGGAAGTCGGATGCAGGGCATCTCGGTAGCTTTGATTCAATTGAAATAAACCCGAGTGATATATCGTGATTCTAAGGCAGCGGCACCATCGCATACTGAGCTTGACGCGGTGGGCCAATAACCCCTGTTTTTATTGGGAAAATAGCAGTAGAGTAGGTACTCTATGCAGCTGCAGCCTTCGCCGGGCCGTACTGGGAAAAGCCACTGCATCGAACGAACACGTCGCAACTGCAAACATAGCATTTCACAATCCACATAATTTGTTTCCTTCCTGTTTGATACCCGGTTTATCCCTCATCCCAAAACTCGTCTCCTCTAAGGTTCTTTCAAAAAGTATTTCCTCTGAGAATCCCTGACCAGCTGTTCATCCTACAGCAGGCGCCCCGAAAGGACCGAAGCAAACCGGCACTATGGAACCGCCTCGAATTACATCGAACGAAAATGACTGATGCGGCGATGTTGTTAAGATGGCGAGCGCAAGAACAATAATCTTCTCAATATAAGCAATGCAAACATCTTCGTCCTATCGTATGTTTGTAACCCTTGCTATCTAGTAATAGCATGCCATCGTAATACGGTGGCTGGCACGGAGCATCTGGCCGAATCGAACGGTGAATGGTCAATTCAGGAACCAGATATGCAAATGTAAGCAGCTGGAGGAGCAGTCGATCGATTCATCCGGCGGTCCACTAGATTTCGAATAAATGGATTTGCCAGGATTAGTTATTGCGGATGTGTGGTGCCTGGATTGCAGGATTGAGGCTCAAAATTTTATTCGCGCTCCCGATAAGCATTATCATATCAGATGGCCAAGAGATAACTCTAATTTCACATCTTGTGCCTTATCTCCAAAACCCTAACCCAGTTATCATCATCCCGCAGCGCCCTGAAGGCCCTGAATCTTTGACATCTCGAACTCATCCATCACTGATAAGAGCTTTTCGTCAAGCGAGAACACGTGCGATTTATTTATCGTAATTTCGAAATTTGGATAGCCTGAACCAGTTTCAGTTTTGCTATCATCGCTGATTATCCTCTACTGTACGATATCTGTTGAGAGGGGGATACATAAATATCTCGAGACATGCACAACGATATGGGCCCTGGCTGCAGTGTCAATAATTCCCTCTCTCAACGTTCACACACATGCATTCAACGAGCTAGAGCAGGTCTTCTTCCCGGCAGCCGAGTGTCCCAAGGACGAGAGGCTGCAATGCAAGGACAGAACACCGTGCTTGGTCCGTGCCTGATTTTACCCGGAGGTCGGGTAGCTGTATGCGTGAGTGGTCGAAGAAACTTAACATGCAGTTCATACATCGCGTTAACGTGGATGGCGCACGTAAAGGACCCAGATGTGTCTGCGGTGTGTGTGTGTCTGATCCACAGTGCACAGAAGTGCGACGGAACAAAATAATATCGCAATGGCCATCAGGCATCACTTTTTCGCTGACCATCGAAGATGAGAGTGTTTCCTCCGAAACAGAACTTACGATGACCCTCCCCCCTCTCTGTAAATCTTTCGAGATGGCCTCCCCGAGTTGTGATGCGAAAAGTGATTGTTCATAAACATAGAAGCGCTTAACTATTAGCGCGAAAGATGGGATGGAGCGGAGCCAAGCTACATCGGTACATACCTATCAACGACAACAGTGCGGGGTCACTCGGTACACTACCCCAGAGTCTCATCAACCCCTCGTAGCAAATCATGATTCCAGCTTCCAAGTCACAGAATTAGTACGTCCAAAGACCTGAACCGTTACCATGAAGTGGGGCAATCATGCCGTTGTCTCTCTTCGGTTCGTAATGGCACCGTGTAACATCGACGTATGCAAACCTGGATTATGCGCAGTAAGTATAGATAGGTAGAGTATAATAGCCTCTAAATTACACAACTGAAATTTTTTGAGAGAAAACTTTTGACCGCACCGGAGTGTCCCGCTGTTGTTTATCGGACGGACTCGGGGCCATTTCTCGCGACCGTCTCCGTAAGCCAGCCCTGGGGCGTTATTACAGGCAGGAAGGTTGAGGTAACGGTTAGTTGGGTGTAGATTGCAATCACTGTTTTGTATAGAGGCTGGTGTAACTAAATTACAATAATATTAGAAGAGGGGAAGAAACAGGCAGGATTGATGGCAATGATGGTGGTGGCGATCGCACTGTACGAAGAGCGGGGAAGCTTGAAACGTGGTGTTGATCGAGATATCGAGTTGAGGAGGGAGAGTTGGGTAGGAATTATGACGCTAAGAGCTATCGAGGCCTGAATGTTTGACGTACTTGTTTTGACGTCATGTGCCAGGGAGTAATCCCATGCTCTAGAGCACGGTGTCTCTACACCTACATGTAGTCCCCGGCCACGTTTCTTTTTACTTGAGTTCTCTCATCCCGAGTATCAAATTATTCTGAGCAAATAAGGGACTGTGAAAAGTAAAAGAACTGTGAAGCACTGACGGGCACGGTGACAAACTGTGAAGCAGTTTAGTACTATGCCTAAGCTAGTAACTGTAGTGTTGATTATAGTGGGGCTGTTCCTAAGCCCCTCTATCGCTGCCGCTTGACCTCGCTCATCATCTAAGATTGATGCCAGCTTATCCTTCCTCATCATACTCTACTTTAGCCTCCACCTTTGAATCTTTCTGCTTGACTTGGTACATATCTCTCCAACTTCCAAGGGTCCCACCCCTCCCGCTCCTGCAACCGGCCTATTTCAATCCTCATTCCTCACATATCTCCCACCCCCCCATCATTCCACTCGGCCACCCGCACACCCCCCATCTCAATCTCACAACCACATAAAAACACCTCCCAATAACAGGTGTTTCCACTGCGGCCTTTATTCCTATCCCTACCGTCCCATCCACCTGTCCGTTATTTCAGCCTTTTTTCTCCTGCAGCCTGTGCTGCCGCTATCCTTACACCATTTTTCGTGAATTTTTTTCGTGGATTAGAGACTTGTAAGTAAATCTCCCGCAGCGCAGCGCGGCTGTAGTTGGTGGGGCCCGGTTCCGCCGGGCCATTCACTTTTCTTCCGTTTTGTTTTTCCTTTTCGTGTCACATACAATTGCTTGGGCAAAAAAAGGACATAATAAAGAGTTCCTCCGGACGAGTTTACTGACCTCTGTATCTCGAGTTGCAGACCCAGGAAGCAATTGAGAACATTTACAGTACACACCAAGGTACAACACAGTACAACCACAGTACAAGATGTCTGACGGCAGAGAACACAAGAGAGATGTCAAGAACCATCTCCTTTTCGAGATTTCAACAGAGGTTGCAAACAGAGGTATATTTTTCTTCCTGATTTGTTTTAGGAATTGAAAATTACGAAGGAGCTGTGTTCTAACTCGACGGCATCTCATAGTTGGTGGTATCTATTCGGTTATCAAATCGAAGGCCCCAATCACTACTGCCGAGTATGGTGAACGTTACTGTCTGATTGGACCTCTCAACCGCACTTCTGTAAGTTCTTGATCATCCCGCACCTTCACATTCATCATTCCTTTTGAAATTGGGTGGTATCTTTCATTGCTTTCACATTACTATTCAAGCAGTCTACTAATCACACATGATGATGTTTCATAGGCTGCGGTTGAAGTTGAAGCTATCGAGCCATCAAACCCTGCATTGAAGGCAACATTAGCTTCAATGTCAGACCGTGGTATTCAATATGTGTACGGAAGATGGTTGATTGACGGTGCCCCAAGAGTTCTTCTCTTTGACACCGGCACTGGTTACAAGCATTTGGATGAGTGGAAGGCGGATTTGTGGAGCACCGCTGGAATCCCTTGCCCGCCTGGAGATTCTGAGACCAATGAGGCAATTGTTTTTGGTTATTTGGTCGCTTGGTTCCTTGGAGAGGTGTGTATTTTGCCTTGATTTTTGTTATGCCTGGATCCGCTAATTCTTTCCTAGTTTGTGAGCAACGAGACTTCAAAGGCGGTCATTGCTCATTTCCATGAGTGGTTAGCTGGTGTTGCTCTTCCCCTCTGCCGCAAACGACGCATTGACGTCACTACTATCTTCACAACCCATGCGACCCTTCTTGGACGTTACCTCTGTGCAGGTTCAGTAGATTTTTACAACAACCTTCAGTACTTTGATGTCGACGCGGAGGCAGGCAAGCGAGGAATTTACCACCGTTACTGCGTCGAGCGTGCGGCCACCCACTCATGCGATGTCTTCACCACCGTTTCCCATATCACGGCGTACGAGTCGGAGCATTTGCTGAAGCGCAAGCCCGACGGTGTTCTTCCTAATGGTCTTAATGTCATCAAATTTTCTGCAATGCACGAGTTCCAGAACCTACACGCTCAATCCAAGGAGAAGATTAACGACTTTATCCGGGGACATTTCTATGGACACAACGATTTCGATTTGGAAAATACTTTATACTTCTTCACTGCAGGACGTTATGAATACCGTAACAAGGGAGTGGATATGTTTATCGAGTCTCTTGCTCGTTTGAACCACCGCCTCAAGATCTCTGGCTCAAAGACTACAGTTGTCGCATTTATCATTATGCCCGCGCAGACACATTCCTTGACCGTTGAAGCTTTGAAGGGACAGGCGACCATTAAGGCTTTGAGGGAAACTGTGGACAGTATTGAGAAGGGTATTGGAAAGAGGTTGTTTGAGCGCGCTTTGAGGTGGCATGATGGCGACGTTGCTCCTGGGGAGAAGGACTTGATGAGCAGCCAAGAGAAGGTCATGCTCAAGCGAAGAGTGTTTGGTTTGAAGAGAAACTCGCTGCCTCCAATTGTCACACACAACATGGTGAGTGATATCCCACTATCTTTAGCCTGTTGATTACAAGGGTACTAACTTTATTCCAGCTTGATGACAGCAACGACCCAATCTTGAACCAGATTCGCCGGGTACAACTATTCAACCACCCTTCGGATCGTGTCAAAGTCATTTTCCACCCCGAATTCTTGAACTCTTCAAATCCTGTGCTGTCCCTCGATTACGACGACTTTGTGCGCGGAACACATCTAGGTGTTTTCGCTTCTTACTACGAGCCATGGGTAAGAGCTTATCTTTGCAAAGTTAACAGCTTCCGGATAATTAACATTTGATGTAGGGTTACACTCCTGCTGAGTGTACTGTCATGGGTGTACCTTCGATTACCACCAATTTGTCCGGGTTCGGTTGTTACATGGAGGAGCTTATCGAGAACGCCTCTGATTACGGTATCTACATTGTAGATCGTCGCATGAAGGGTGTCGATGACTCCGTTAACCAGCTTTGCGAGTACATGTACGACTTCACAGTGAAGAGTAGGAGACAGAGAATCAACCAGAGGAACAGGACAGAACGATTGAGCGATCTTTTGGACTGGAAACGAATGGGAATGGAGTACGTGAAGGCTAGGCAGTTGGCTTTGAGAAGAGGTAATTTTTGCGCGAGGTCTTTGAAACGGATATGATGCTAACTAAATCAATAGCCTACCCTAACTCTTTTGATTCCAAGGAGCCATTCCCATTCTTTGACGGCACAGAACAAAAGGTTTCTCGTCCGTTATCTGCGCCAGGATCTCCAAGAGACCGCTCTGGTATGATGACTCCTGGTGACTTTGCATCACTGCAGGAGGGTATGGAGGGACTTAACACCGAAGACTACGTCGGATGGAGGCTTCCGTAAGTTTTATACGCCCTAATTCCGTGGGTGTCATGTCATGCTAACGAAACTGGTGGAAATAGTGAGGAGGAAGACCCAGATGATTACTCTTTCCCCTTGACCCTCAGAAACCCCAAGAGACCTGTTGTTGCAAACGGCGAGAGCGACGCTTAGAAGGCATTACAGCGGCCTAACATGAAGCGTAAGATATATCGAGTGTTATGTCGACGAGAGGCCTTGCGATATACTGCTTGAGGAGAATGGGTGGGAACGATACCTTGCTCTATGTTTTATGTAATTCTAGTACTAAATCCACCACTAACACATTTCTTTGTTTCTTTTGTTTGTTATCGCTCTTTTTATATCCTTTTACCACTCTGGTTGATCCCGGATGTGCTACATCTCTATGCGCTGCCTAGCATTTTCTGTTTTGTTTTGATATGCACAATGTTCGGTTTCGAGCGACATCTACGACAGACATCTCTTATGTTTTTTTGTTTGTGTGTGACGATATAGATGAAAAAAAATTGGACGGATGGGGGTTTTTCTGGTCTATTGGATGGGGCGTGGTGATTGGGTGCAAACGATCGGGGGAAAACAAGTGGGAGTGATAGTGGATGAGGAGCATATCAGTGTACCTTTTTTTTCTTATTGGACTTGTGAAAAACCTTTGCTGCAGTGTTTTTCTTCCCTTCACTTGTTTGGTTTGCTTGCAAGTTTACGAGTATGGTAATTGGATTTGATCTGGGTTTATTACTTTTGAGGTTTTTATTTTTTGAAACGGATCGAGTGGTTACTTGGTTTGGTTTACTAGGTACAATGTGGCGCTGTCAAGTCAAGTACTACTGCATAATAATAGTGGGAGATGGGATACCTATACATAGGCAGAATGACATGACCATGGGTTGGGATCTTGAATCGGTAATCGGTTAATCCATCGGCGGGGGTTTACTATTTTTTCTTTTTTCTTAGGCGAACGCAGGTTAACGAGCTGTCTGCGATGAGCTTTTATTTTTTCTTGCTCGGAGGATTCCTACCGGCTTCCCGGGTGAGTGGCGAGAAGTAATTGAGGTTGTACGAAAATATCATTGCTTTTTACAAGTGGTGGCGAGTGAGCAAGTGTGATTGAGAAATGGCTGACATGTATGTCTCGGAGATCATCCCGGTGGCTCGCTTATTACGAGCATTTCGTCGACGTCTGCCAATATTGATGTCACTAAACTTAAGGGTCTTGTAGGTTTGTGAATATCACATGTCGTGACAGATGTGACATGACTGCCTGACCTTTCGCACCGTGAATTGAAAAAGTAAGTTCACTGACCAAGCCTCAAGGATGGGGTGTGCATCACGACGATGGATACTCCGCAAACTCGCGGATCTGGGTGTCGAGATTATCGCCATGTTTAGTTTACCCGGCTTTTTACTTTATTCAACGAGAGGTTGACAAGAGTTTTGCAAATTATACTATAGATTCCAGGCACAAGCAAAAAATAAATATTAAATACTAGCAAGTAGAAGTAGTATTCAAAGTTATTGACTTGAAGAGACTTTGACTAATAAAAGAGCAACCCAAATTTCTGGTTTCCTCCATTATTGCCTTCCAAAGCAGTACGTACCCGACCTCTTTAACTTGCAATTTGTTTCTTACCATGAGCCAATGAAGCATGTTATAAGGATAATTTTCCAGCCTTCAAAGATGTATAGATGCAGATGTTCTATAGCTAGCCATCTAGATGACCTAGGTCTCTGTCCTGGTCCGCCTCATCATCTTTTCCTACACCTCCCCCATTGTATTAAATCTCTTTGATATTATTAAGCTTTCCTAGTATAGCTGGTTTGATTTTGTTATGAGTTCGAAATTTGAACGATTGCTGGTGATATTTCAGAGATTCGATCTGTAGTTGGTTTTTGAATTTTATTTCGTGAAACTGGTTCCTTGAGCAAATTAGGCCATTCAAATCGATAGTGTCAGTCGAGCATCATGAAAACTTCATCACACACAGGTTCATAGCGTAGCTAAGACCCCAAATTAAGCCTTTCCGGGCCGTCGCCCTGATCCGGGTTCTTTTTGTGTAACTTTCCTAGGACTTTTCTTACACACTTTTTCAATTTAGAAACGAACTTTACCCAATAGTTGGGTTTTTTTTCTAGATCTGTTGGTGTCGAAGGTAGGTCATCGTTTTCGGTTTCCAATACTGGGGTAGCATCCAATATGGAAGGCTCCCGGGGGGAAAGACCGGGTGATATGGGGCTTTCGGGCCGACCGCTCCTACTCGGTGCGGTGATATCGTAATTAGGGAAATGTTCCCTTACGAAAGAATTATAACGCGGTCGTGAAAGTTCATAATTCCGCTCTCTTTCGTCCAAGCTTGGTGTCATGGTTGATACAACCTAGGGCTGCAGGGTATAGTGCTATCGATTTGTGTACTGTCAGTGTAGTTGATTATATAAACGGTATCTAAGGTCTGAGCTATTGTATAACATAGCCCGATCCAAAGACAATAGTTATCGTTATAAACAAATAATACTATGGAGTTACATTGTTCGTGCAAGTAGTTTCCCACCTCCACTTAGGTGTAGCTAAGTTACTATGGGTTGTATTGCTGTGATAAATGAAGCCAGCTCTAAAGCAATTGCCTAAACGATCGAAGAAAGGACAACTAGAAGCATTGGAGGTCAAAACAGATCCGCATTGAATATTAAAATATATTACCTTGTGTGCTTTTTCGTCTTCCTCTCGTTTTTCAAGTGTAAGTGATTCGATCCTGCTGGCTAATTGTTTTTAATCACAACGTTTTTGTTTCAAGACTAGAAATAAACATACCTTTAAGGGATTTCTAACCAATTAGGTTGAATCAAACACCGAACTTGATGAAGGCTGTAACTATTCTAGGAAAGCTTTGACTTTGAATTGAAGAATAGCAGCTAGCACGTAAGAGCACAATGGAGGGGATTTCTGGCCAATTGTGATGAATCAACACACTGAACGTCTTGATGGAAGCTGTAGCTATTCCAGGAGAGTTTTGGTTTTTGAATTGGAGTAGAGTAGCTAGGACGTAAGAAAACAATGGCGGGGATATAGAGATGACAAGGATGGCAGGGATGGCAGGGACTCAAAAGCCGAGAAAAAATAATTTAGGGCTACGCATTGACTGCACCGGCTTCGGCTGATGGATATTGAACTGCAAAAGGCATGCGTACTTTTCAATCTTTTTCCCCCGGTCCCTCCCCGGTGTTAATTTACTCTGGGCGCCACTGCGTAGAAACACGTATCCGCGTCACACACATCTAACTGCATGTATGCTTATTTATGCACTGAGAATAAAGTTGTTTGCTGGAGGGACAAGATTGGTACCCATACATACTTGATACATCGTACATGAAATTAGTTTAGGACCTGGCTGGTAACTCCTAGAGTGTACCATGGTTGAGAGGCTGGAGTGAGATAACTTGGCACATATGAGCTGCTGTGGGCCCTGGGCGTTGCTAGTACGGTGCTTAACACAGGGCCCGGAGTTTCCACACCCTAAGTAGGAAAATATTCTACGGAATTAATTGACCTTGAGACGCCCGGCCATTGAAGTTTGGTAAAGAACAATGACAGCCACACGTAGAACGCTTGATCTCACATAACCACATACCTGTCCGCCTTCAATATCAAAAGTGATCAACAAGGGAGTCAAGGGAACTGAGCCATGGGCCCAATGTCGAACCTTCCAGATTCCCTGTAATTTCTATGAGATTTCAAGTAGGGCACGAGCACGTCAAGGACACGTGTGGGCTATAACTCGACTTTAAATGGCTGGAGATAAGACTGCACAGCTCTGTCACACATACTCTAAACGAGGTAGTAAATAGTGCTTATGTATATGGGAAGAAAGTATGGCACTATCGTGCTATCAACGGAGAACCAACAAATCAGTCATTGGTCCGAAAGTATCTTCTCCTACTATAATGTACACCTTACCCTGACACGCGGTTGAAGATCGAGTAGGTAAGCCGTGCACGGACCTCAAGTCTTCACACACAGTTGAAATCCATGTACTCTACAGTAGCGGCTCGCCAACAAACCTCGCCATCACATACATACGCATTAGAACGGATGAATCTAGACAGCTGTAATGCACATGTGGGTAACATCTTGGATCGAGGCACGGGAAGTTATTTGTCCCCGGTGGTGGCGGAGCAGAAAAATTTAAGCTGCAGTGATGACAGTTCAATTATGCGGATCGAAATTGCTTGAGGTGAGTGACACTCTGTGACTTAAATTATTATTGAATTCAAAGGCGTTCGAGCTTTTCAATAGAAACAATTTTCAATTTATATTCTACAGATTTTCAAATGGATCACCCCACCCGACTATTTGAAATACACACTTCTATATAAATATGCGGCATAATCATTAATAGTATAGAGCAGAGCACACTAATCCACTATATATAACTTGATCATCAAACCACTCAATATCAAATAACTCGACTATCACACAACCAAATTACCAAACTATATCACCAATTTTCAACACCCAAACATGTCTTCTTCAACTGGAAATTCTTCTACGACCACCAACAATACGGGCAGCCTCGGTGGACTATTTTGGACATGTTGCAAATGTGGCATGACTCCGAATGAGTGTCTGAGGTCCCCAAGGGATCTACCAACATGCAAGCATACTACCAAAGACCAACGGAACGCCACACGTCTTTGCGGACATGTGCACTGCAAGGATTGTAAAAGATTCATAGTGAAAGCTAAATAGAGCATTTTAGTCCATCCGTGTAATCCGTTACTCGGCCATGTTTCTTCTACGTAAAATGGTGGCTTCTATAGTAGAAATATGGCAGAAATATGTGACTAAAATACAGATAATTCGTGTCTTTGTTTGTTTTGATGTAAACTCAGAATAGTAATACCAATCATATCAATTAAATCAGTCTTTACCTAAGAATCTTTTGTCCCCAAAACTAGAAACATACAGGTTCGAGAACGCCTCTATGTTTGTCAATCACTAACTCAGGTACTGATTACTAGGTTCCGTAACTTATGAATTCCTCTCTCGCGCCAGATAGTGTTACCCAACAATATTCTATAAGATTAAGGATTAAGAATAAAACTTTCTTCTATAGACATCCTTTTTGGTACCTTCCTCCCAGTAATTACAGGATACTACTTTATAGCCTGAGATATTGTTGAGGGTGAAGTGTTCACGGCAGAGAGTGGAGACAAATCCCAGATAGGCACCGCGACCAGTTGATAAAAGCCATTTATTATACCAGACAGAATATATATACCCGTGGTTTCGTACCTGCTTTGGGAAATACTGGCACACAGCATTCGACGAAACCCCCTAAATCTCGCCAGTCAAAGGTACATACATGTACTCATTGCTCTCTTCATTCCAACTCTTAATCAAAAAAAGAAGAAGAAAAATACGGTGGAATCGCTGATTAGCCAGGTAAGCTTCCCAGCGGTGACGGAAAGACGACGGATTTACAACCACTGATAAATCATTCTCAACGTCACAGGGAACTGGTATGTACAAGCACCTGTAGTATGCACCTGCAGATATATACGAACTTGTGAATATTTGATCACATTTTGAACAATGGCGCAACAAATTAAAACCCATTTGCGTAAGATTCCAGCGAGGTATCGATTTGCTCCTAACTATGAAAATGACCATCAAAATCAACTCGAATCGCACGCTAATTCACTACAAATAAGGAACACCAGATATCCTCAATCTTGTTTACTTGCTTCTTCCAGCAATCTTGTTCAAGAAACCCAGAAGCACGTCCTGCTTCAGCCCTTGGCTTTCATCAACCTTCGAGATGAGCTCCTTGATCATCTCAATGGATTTCCTCTCATATGCCTGGTAGTGTGCCTCAAGCCCGAGCTCCAAGTAGATATCTTTGATGACCTTCTCACAAGCAGCATCCTTACGGCCGTAGTTTTCATCGAGCACTCTACGCTGCTCAGGGGTCACAAGCTCGAGAGCTTTGTTAATAAGCCATCCACACTTGTTGTCCTGGATATCGGTTCCGATCTTTCCGATGTGTTCTGGGTCGCCGTAGCAGTCAAGGTAGTCATCCTGGACCTGGAAGTACTCTCCTAGCGGGATGAGAACATCACGGGCACGCGAGAGGTTTTCGGGGGTTGCAATCCCAGCCTGGTACATCGCTAGTGCGACGGGGAGGTAGAAAGAGTAGAAGGCTGTCTTGTAACGGACAATGAAGTAGTACTTCTGGTAGTTGAACCTGCTGAGGTCAATGTTATCCTCGGGAGCAGTGAGAAGGTCTACGAGCTGACCGAGCTCGGTTTGCCAGGTGACCTAGGAGATAATTAACAATTGAATAAATTATACGTTGTTTTCGATAGGCTTACCTCGTGGAAGAGTTCAACAAGGTCAATATAGTAGGACGTTCCCTTGAAGTGTTTCTTCAACAGAATGTAGATAGCGGATTCAAGGATGAAGGAATCGTTGATGGCAATGCTTCCAACATCTGGCATCAGGTACCAGCAAGGAGAGCCACGACGAGTCTTGGAGCTATCCATGATATCGTCGGCGACCAAGAACATAGCTTGGAGCTGTACAAAACCACCAAATACAATAAGCAATTGCAATCTAACAATGAACGGCGCAATTGAGAAATATTACCAATTCAGTGCACCATCCAAGAATAGCACTTTGCTTGAACTCTTCGGGGCTCAACTTGTCTTTTCCAAGAAGAATGCGGTAGGTATCCGGTACAGTCATACCACGATTGTATTTCCCGCCCATGGTATTGTGGGTAAGATTCTAAAAGATCACATCATGAGTAAATAGAACAATTGAGATAGCAATACTGTAAATGAGAAACATTACCTTTGCTATCCACTCCACAGCATTGTCAGAAATTCCGGTCTTGTGCACCTCAGCAATCAGCTCTGGGACGATAGTCTCCTGGAAAATAGCCTCGAACTCGGAACGTTTGGTAGTCATCTTGCGAGAGATACTGTTCTTGTGAACTGAGATTGGGAACCTGATAGTTGAAGGAGTTCACTTGGATGAGATCTAGAGGTCAGGGGTAAGTCTGGTTGTGGACAAGACGGTGGAATTCGAATTTAGGAGGGGATATCTATACAGGTCACAGGGTCACAACTGAGGGGTCTAGCTCCACACCAGCTAGCGCCTTTCCACGTGCCAGACCCTGCCCAGCCTTTCGCGCAACCTAGCTCGAGCTCTCGATTAATTCCAAGATAGACAATTGAGCCAAAACGCCATAACATACGTCTTCGAAAAGAGTGGGAAAAAAGCGACCTTCAGGGTCAGCGAGCGGGTAGCTACTTCCTGCAGTGTGCCTGTACCTACGTACCCTCACCCTGAACAATATGAACTCGAGCTCCGTTGATGATGCCACGTCCCTTCAATACAATCGCAATTGACCAAACCGTGCCAGAGAAGGGCAGGATAAATTTTTTTACTCGATTCTTCAGGGTCGTTCCAAGTGTTGGGCGCATATTATTAACGACTATCCTAGTATTTATCATTCACGCCCGATCGAGCCTTCCTCTGGGTAGCTCGAAATCGAAAAATTTCTATTGACGAAATTTTTACTTAGTTCGCAAACAAAGAAATGTATTTCAATAGCTCCAGAAGACTCGCACGTTATCTGAATTCGCGAATATAAATACTCTCTAGAACGGGGAATTGGCAACCTTTTAGTCTAAATTTAACTAACGAATCACATCCAAACCTCTACACAGTTTTTTTTGGTATTGATAAGTTATTCTAAATAAGGATGCATCATTGGCACTCAATCTTTTCTTATAATACGAAAAGAAAATTAGGCCTGCACCGCTACCCAGGCACAGAAGACATGAAAGACATGAAAACTCGAGTGTCATGTGCACCACAAATATTAAACTGAATACAACACATTTCACCCGCCAGTATATAAAGAAATATCTGAAAATCTACAAAAGGATATAAACAAAGACAACAATAGCAATAAAAAACGGATTGAATATTACAAATATCAAAATCATCAATACTTCAGCGGACTCCCCATCCCTAGCGGACTTCCCCTACCAAGTGGACTCCCCATAGGTGGGGTTCCCCTACGGAGTGGACTCCTTAGAGGAGGGCTCTCCAGGGGTGGACTCCCCATAGGTGGACTCCCCATAGGTGGACTCCCCATAGGTGGACTCCCCATAGATGAACTTCCCCTGCTAAACAGACTTTCCAACGGCGGGCTTGTTGGCGGTGAGGATTCAGGTCCAGCTACCCTATCGCCACTAATACTACCTTCTCTTGACACAATCCTACTCATTCTCGCCGCCTCCCCAATATCTACCCATAAAGAACTCAATGGGAAATGCGGTAATCCTGGTAGAAAGCTTCTCGTAGGGGCGTCTGTATTATTTTTCTTCCCAGTAGTATTTTTGCCTTCGACCTTACACTCCTTCATGACGGTGATCCGTAGATTTTGGACACTCGGTGCACGTCGGTCGTAGAACTTCTTTTTCGATCTGGAGAAGTTGAAATGCCGTGTCCAATGCAATGCACGCGGGTCTCGAAGGAGACTCCGTCGGATACACACCATTATTAAGGCACAGATGGCGCAGAGCGCGAGGATTGATATGGCTACTAGGCCACCAACCACGGTCGGTGATATCTTAGAGGCGTCATTACAGCCAGCAAAGACGTCGGCTTTGGCGAGATAAAGGGAGTTCGTAATAACCCTCCCCGGGTTGATGAACGGTGGGAATGCCGTAGAATTTGTAGTTCCTGGAATGAGCTCGCAAGGACTCTCATAGCTGGTGCCGCAATGGAAATTTCTTCGCAGAATTCTCAGTCACTAGAACTACATCTTACGATACGAGAGGGAGTTATGCTCACATGGGGCAGCACTTTTTATTCAGTGGTTTTTGATCCGTGTATCTATCTGTTACCATGGTACACATCTCTCTGTGATTATTTGGGTCTCCACAGTTATACCATCCCGTAGGACATTTGGGATATCTTTGGGTTTGAGGTGGGCAGTTCAGTGCTGGGTTCTGTTTTACACAGCAATTTGCCCATATTACAGGGCCGAAGGCTGAGTTAAGGTCTTGCACGTTGAAGGCACATATTCCGGAACTTTCTTCGTTTGTGGAGATACCAGGTCGGCCAGCTGCGGTAGAAGTAGCGGATGCGGTAGAAGATACCAGGGTGCTTGCGACTAATCCAGTCTTGGTTGTGTCTGTCATCTTGAAGAGTCTATGTCGAATGAGCGGATACTGGCAGATCTGGCCGGTGATTCACATACATGACAGAAGAGAGAGGGGAACTCTCGATCAAATGATATTAGGCCTAGTTATGGAACAAAGAATGTGTAAATCCATAAGTGTGGCAACTAACAAAGAGGAGAATTAAGCCTTTTGTTCGAGACCGACAGATGCTAAACCTAGTTAGGATAAAAGAAAGATAAATATCTCCTTCAAGCTTCTATCTACCATGTAGATTTAGAACATTAGTCATTTCTTCACTTTTGCAGGAGATGGGAAAGGGAAATTTAAGAAGGAATCACACATAATCACTCGTTCATCACACGCAGTCTAGACTGAAATCTAGGTGTCACGCTTCTACTTCCATCTCTAAACTCACTAAGTCCACTGAGCCTCGACCCAATCTGGGGGATATATGGGAGCTGACCAGCCATAGGATCAATCACCGACTCCCCACCTGACCGCACAAGGTGCAAGCCCCAAAGCCTAGCACCATAATCGCTTGTATCACCGGTCCCCAAACTAGTTGAGTCTCCCGGAAGCTCAATAATAATTCCTGATAACTCTATAGAGTTACCACATTCTGCACTGTTATTACCTGCATGATCTTCTACATCGATGATAGACCCAGCATCTCGAAGCAAGGACGCAAAGAGCAATATTAACGCAATCAACAAAGCAGCTGTGGCGAATATAAGTGCCTCGCGGAGTTGACTAGTCGACACAATAAAGATGAAGGTTGCTAAGGCAATCACGACCAGCAGAATCATACTCAGCAGGAGCCTAGTGTAGACGGAGATATAGGACCACTTTGAATTTCGTGAGGAGATGATTGTGGGAGAGGCCATAGACCTAGGCCGTTGTGCATGAGAATTTCGCCGAGGAGAAAGGCGCAGCGTGCATAACGGTATAATATATAGGCGGATGTCTATATGTGGAGGCCGTCTTGCCGCAGCTACACTAGGCTCAGTAGAAGATGGTAGATCTATCAGCTCTTTGTGGTTGTTATCAATGGAATGACAAAGACAAATCCATCAAACCCTACTCCATATCCATGTCCATCTAGTCTCGCTTCTAGTTGTGTATCTGTGTTTGAACCTCCGAGGAGGTTCCTGATGCAGCAAGCTGATATATATACATAAGTATACAAGCATTTTCCGGCCTTTGGCCGGAGTAGGAACTGTTATGGCTTAAACAATATCAGTTTACCAACGCTTAAGATCACTGAAACCCCAAGATGCCCTGTGCACATATCTGATATACTATTTGGTTGACTCAAGGTATGTTGGAACCAATATCTACTGGCTGACTCAAACATATTTGATAGAATATCTACTAACTCCAACATATTTGATAGAATATCTACTTACTGACAAACATATTTGATAGAGAAAAAGAAAACCCCTCAAACCTGGCCAATCAAAACCTTTAAATAACACATTGCATATCGGTATATCTATATACTTATTAGATATGGAGGTTGTAGCTGGGAAATTGGGGGCGCTCTCAACTTTAACTTCGGTCTAGCTTGGTGACTATATATAGAGTAATTACACAACCGTACAATTGAAAAATCGATGTTAATTCAGACCCATATAATTATGGCATGACCAATTCTACTTGCGACTTAAGTGTCAATTGCAAGCACTAGTGCATTTTAATATGTCAATAGTAATTATAATGGTTATCGAAATACTCAATGTTTAATGAGCACCCAACCTGAGAGAACTGCACGCGACTATTAAATTTATAAAAGCGTTCGAAACAAACGGGAAACCCGCCTGATACTTCCAATAACTGGGGTTTCATTGGGCTTGCTGATTCAATGCAATGGATATATTGAATTTATCTAGAATACCTTGCTTGTCTAGCTATAGTACGTATAACATATATGCATACATCTGATATCGGCCCATCTTTCTGCAAGCTTCCTTAATTCCAAGAGTCTGGTGACTTTGGTCTATTCTAGGCCTACAGATCAATATGATCATGATGTAGCCACTTCATATAGTACTGCATGCAACTATCCTGCTGATCTACTTATACGTAGTTACTCCGGCATTTTGTTTACATCTCACAAATTTGAATGTAGCTGTATTTTGCTCCCGTAAAGCCCATCAAAAACGTCAACCAGCGGTTACGTGTCAAGATGGTCTACCTGATCGGCAACCACTGCATGCACCATCGGTCATTCGGCTTCACCTTCACAGAAACTCACTCGGCCTCACCGCCCCCACCTCGGCTGACAGTTCTTGGCGAAGAGCCGCACAGAGCCTCACATCGTCATCACACTCATTCGGAGGCCAGCGACACCGCAACACCGTTATCAATAATTGCGCACCATGGCGACCCCCTCACCTCCTCCGGCAGTGCCGCATCCAAAAAAGCGTTCGTTCTCACTCACCTCAGTGGTGTTCTTCTCGATCCTGTCATTCCGTATCCTCAATGCCCTTACTACCCGTACTTTCTTCCAACCAGATGAATACTTTCAGTCGCTGGAGCCGGCGTGGAGAATGGTGTTTGGCGAAGGGTGGCTTACTTGGGTATTTCCCTGCTGTGCTGCGACGCGGTTGCGGTAATGGTAGTATAGACGTAGTAAATTAATAGAAGTTTGATTGTAGGAATGGCGTAACCAGCTACGCTCAATTGCGCACCCTTTGATCTTCGCGGGTGTTTATAGGGTTGCAGACTTTGTCGCGGGGTTGCTAAAGCTTACGTGTGAGACGAGGGCCGAGGTATTAGTTGTGGCACCGAAGTTGCTGCAAGCTGTTTTTGCAACACTGGGCGACTACTTTACAGCGAAGCTAGCTGGGAAGTTGTTTGGTGGTGCAGCTGGATGGACAAGTGTGCGTATGCTTTTTCTTAATTAATGGTGCTAATACGAGCAGTTTGTTGATTATTGTGAGGGTGCAGTTATGCTTGAGTCTCGGGAGCGCGTTCCATTATTTTTGCGCGACGAGGACATTCTCGAACAGCTTGGAGACTAGTGTGACAGCTATGGCGCTGTATTATTGGCCATGGGGACTAATTAAGGAAGCACCGAAAACAAAGATTGGGAGAGCGCTGCAAAGCCAGATTGATAGGAAGTAAGGATACCTTTCTCTCCGCTATTTGGCGTGTATATCATACTAATACAGATGGTTTAGTGACCTAAGATTGTCGCTTCTATTGGCAGCCTTTGCGTGTGTTCTGAGGCCTACTAATATTCTGATTTGGACATGCTTGGGGAGTATCCTTATGTACCGCAGTACACCGAGAGATAGAGCCACACTGGTTACCGAGGCTGTGACTGTTGGGTATGTCCCTATCATTAGTGATAGAGATGGTGCTCCTCTAATGCAGATGCATACTATAGAGTTACTGCCATTCTTCTTAATGCGATTGCAGACCACCGCTATTACGGAGCCTGGACATTTCCGCCGTTGAAGTTCCTGCAGTTTAACCTCCTACAGTCATTGTCGCACTTTTATGGCACCAATGACTGGCACTATTACCTTTCCCAAGGCCTACCTTTACTACTTACCACCTTCTTGCCTCTTACTCTCTATGCCCTCTACAAATTCCTGCTTGCTCCAGAACCTACCGCCCAACATTTTGCCGGCAGGGAACTCGCTGCCACTACCGTGTTCGTAACAACCATCTACTCTCTCATCGCGCACAAAGAAGTCCGCTTCCTCTACCCACTTCTCCCAATCCTGCACGTCCTCTCCGCGGCAGCCCTCGAATCTCTCTCCTGGTCCGCCCGCGCAAAGCGATTAACAGTTTGGGCAATGATCCTGCTCAACCTCCCACTCGCCTACTACGTCACGCAGGTCCACCAGCGTGGTGTTAATGACGTTGTGGATTACCTTCGCCACGACGCTAGTAACTGGCGTAGCGCTGGCTTCTTGATGCCCTGCCACTCAACGCCTTGGAGAGCCAATATCCAGGGTGACGGTGAACTGTGGGCGTTGGGGTGTGAACCACCTATTGACATGACCGTAGAGGAAAAGAAGACATATGTCGATGAGGCAGATGAGTTCTATGCGGATCCAGCTGTGTGGATGGCGATGAATTTACCTGGTGTGGAGATGCTGAAAGAGAGTGAGAGGGCGGTGAAAGAGGAAGCGAAATACGAGTGGCCCGAGAGGCTAGTGTTCTTTCAGGCGCTCGAGGACACAATGGTGAAGTATTTCGAGGGAGTAGAAGGGTATGAGGAGTGTTGGAGGGGGTTTAATACTCACTGGCACGATGATGGCAGGAGAGTTGGTGACGTGATGGTGTGGTGTTTGAAGAAATACGTGTAGTTCGGAGGAATGGGTTTGTTGGTCATAATGGGACTTAAAAAGAAGATCACTGGGTACTGGTTCATATTCATGTTTTCGGATCTCGCAGGTTTGTCGGAATGTGAGCGATTGTATTAATATTGGAGGTTTTCTGTGGATTTATCTCGTGCACGAATCAATGACCAAAACCTGAATTCAAAAACCATAATTTTCTGATTCCACAATAGCCAGCAACACCAGATTCCTGAGTGTCAATGATTACCCTGCATGAAAATTCCGCGTACATAACCCTTGTGTAGCTAGCCAAGACGGACGGACTCGCTGACATTGGGGTATGGCAAAGATGGGGGCCAAATTGCACTCAAACTCGACGTTGCGACCAACTGCTCTCGCCCAAACAATCCCTGTTCGGCATTCCCCCATCTTCGGCATACCCCATCACGAGTCTAGTATCGGCGCGAGCGCAGACGCGATAAGAAATTCACCTAACCCTGTGTTTTGATCCGCCAACTTCACTCCACCCCCCACGACCTATCTCTCACGCCCCACAAGCTCCCATTGACGTATCCAAAGTCGACGGAACACATCGTGGAATCGCCATAGTAATCACTTATCGTCTTTAGATACCAATTAATACTTAAATTATAGGCAAATCGTTCACCGCTGCTGGAATACCATGGCTACGACAGCTCCGGATCCGCAGCAGTTGCACCAGGCACTGCAAACTGCTGTCGTCAAGTGCTCTGAACGCTGTCTTTATCAAGCTGCGAAATGGTAACTTCAGCTATACTTTCCTGCTTTAACTCCCTCCGGGTTCTCGGGTACGTGGCTGTAGTGATGAAACTAACACCAGCGCCACCATAGGGCCGCGGAAGCACTGACATCTCTCACCACTATCGCAACACCCCGCACCCCGCAATTCACCTACCCAGTCCCTACGCCCCATGAAGCCCAAGAGCTACCTCAATATCTCCTTGCCAAATCGTACTTCGACGTCCGCGAGTTCGACCGCGCCTCCTCAGTGCTTGCGTCGTGCACATCCACAAAGTCCCGGTTCCTCCATCTTTACTCCCGCTACATCGCAGGCGAGAAACGCCGAGATGAGGAAAGCGAAATGATTTTGGGCCCTCTTGACTCTGCGGCCACTGGCAACCGTGAGGTGCAGTATGTGTTATCTACGCTTGAAATGGGATTCGCGGAGCAGCCACCTACGGAGGAAGAGGATGCCTGGCTGCTGTATCTGTATGGAATCGTGTGCATGAAACAGAAGAATATCAAACATGCGAGGAAAGCACTGTGCAAGAGTGTCTGCCTATACCCGTATAACTGGTCTGCATGGCAGGAGCTCGGGAGCACGCTTGGCGGCCTTAGCGACCTCAATGAGATCCTCGATAGACTCCCGAATAATGTCATGACAAATATCTTTGTCCTCAACACCAACCAGGAGCTATATCAGACCGATGACGGCGTGCATAAGCAGCTTACAGATCTGTTACAAATCTTCCCGCGCTCGGCGTGGCTCAAGACACAGCGTGCGCTATTGTTCTATCATGCGCGCGACTTTGATGAGGCCGAACAGATTTTCGACGGCCTGATAAAAGCAGACCCGTATAGACTGGATAGCCTAGACCATTATAGTAACATCTTGTACGTGATGGAGCGCCGCCCCAAGCTCGGTTTTATAGCCCAAATGGCGACTGGGACAGACAAATTCCGTCCTGAGACATGCTGTGTCGTTGGCAACTACTATTCACTCAAGAGTGAGCATGAGAAGGCCGTGATGTACTTCCGGCGTGCATTGACACTGGACCGTGCTTCACTGAGTGCGTGGACACTTATGGGGCACGAGTATGTTGAGATGAAGAACACGCATGCCGCCATTGAGGCGTATCGTCGTGCCGTTGGTTAGTCCTCCTCTCTTTCTAATTTCCAGTATGGTGCTAACGGGACCAGATGTAAACCGTAAAGATTATCGTGCCTGGTATGGCCTGGGTCTCTCATATGAAGTCCTCGAAATGCACTACTACGCACTCTTCTACTTCCAGCGCGCCGCCTCACTACGCCCCTACGACCCACAGATGTGGCAGGCCATGGGCAGCTGCTTCGATCGCATGAACCGACCTGGTGAGGCCATCAAGGCCTACAAACGCGCCCTTATATCATCCGCACCCGCGAAGCAGGCAAACACCCACTTTGACCCTAGCATTCTCCTGCAGATTGGATACATGCATGAGAAACTACAGAGCGGCAGAGAGGCAGCAAGATGGATGGAGATGGCACTTAGGGAAGAGGATGAGGTCGGTGTCACGGCGGCCACGAGTAAAGCTCGCATGTGGCTTGCTAGGTGGGAGTTTGGGAATGCGAATTGGGGAAAGGCTGCGGAGTATGCAAATGAGTTATGTCAGGATGGTGCAGAGCTTGAGGAGGCGAAGGCTTTGGTGAGAGATTTAAGAAGTAGGATGGAGAAGTAGGTGGGATTATTTTGAGACTTTTATTAACAAGTATCTCTATTCTCTTTTGCGCTTTTTTTCTGGACGGTTTTAATGAGGGGATGACTTGACCTCTGATATATTTTTTGACGACGTGCGCGCGCGGGTGATGATGATCACGATGGATAGTTCTTGACTTGCATGAGATCAATGAGGCGGACTTTTTTTCTTTTTCTTTTTGCTTTTATCATATTACTCTGTTCTATATTTGTTCAGCATTTATACCCATTCTTCCTCTCTGTTTTTTTTTTCCTTTCTATTAGCAGCTAGTATCCTTAATCTCTTTTTCCCTGCGGTTCATATGATGTTTCCTTGACTTGCGAAAGACGGTGGTGTACTACGGCGTTTGGCATTACTAAAAAAAAGTTCTTCCTCATCTTTAAAGCACAGGCCTGTTTGCTTGTAAATATATCACGAACCAAAGGCCCCGCCTAGGCCTGGCATATCATATATTCCACCGCTGTAGTCGACTCTCTCTATATAGCTATAAGAGTTAAGTACTCTTTAGAATATAAGAATACTCGCTATACAAGGACCCCGGTCTATAGGCTACTTTTTCTTTAGCATGAAGAGTTCTTGTATGAGCCCAAAAACCAAAGGACCAACCACGCTACAAAAAAACTCCAAACACCGGATTAATGCCTATCTATTACTATTATTACTCCTACTATCTCGCTACTGAAAAGCCCTCTCCTTCCCCTTCGCCGTCCCCATCACCGTACTCTCCTCTACCACCGTATCCAACCCCCCTCCCACCCCCCTCCCATCACCATCCACCCCGCTCGCATCCACCCGATTCTGAAACGCCGACGACCCCATCCTCGGTGGCACCCCCCGTTCCCCATCCGTCTCACTCTCCATCCCCGTCCCCTCCGTACTCCCCTCCCTCTCCCCGCGCGGCCTCTTCTCCCCCTTCGCAATCTGTATCTCCTCCAGCCGATCCAAAAAGCTGCTCTTCCCCGGCCGCCACCCATACGTCCTCTCCCCCGCATACGCTGCCAGCGGCCTCTGCTTCGCTGTCAGCACTGCCGGCAAACAATGCAGCCTCACCCCCGCCGTCGCAATCACCTGACCCGCACGGGGGTCCTCGCGGTCCTCCTCGCCCCCCGCGCCAGCAGCGACGTGGGCGCCGGCGGCTGCCGCCGCACTGGTGTCCTTCTGCGAGACGTAGACGCCGCGGATCTCGTGCGTGTCTTCGGGTGCGGGGCCCTCGGGGCAGCGCACGTAGATCTCGGTGCCGACGGTGGCGGTCCAGGAGCCGGACCAGATGCGGTTTCCGAACGAGAGGAGGGGGTTCTCGGTGTGGAGGTCGAGGATCTGCAGGCGCCCGTGGTCGCCGTGGGCCCAGCGCGAGACGGGGTTTTCTTCGTCGTCTGAGGAGGGCGGGGTGGTGCGTGGGCGCTTGGGGAGTTGGCGGCGGCCGGTACGGCCCGAGCGGGTGGTGCTGGAGAGGGGGCGGGGTGGGGGGAGGTTGGAGGGGGGGGCGCTGTTGGTGTGCGGGTTTGAGGAGGGGCCGGCGTGGATCGGGGTGGGGATTGTGAGGTCGAGGGAGACGTAGAATTCCTATGGTAGCCAGGTAGGTTAGTTTGCGCTGTGTAGAAAACGATATCGAGCATGGAGAGAGCGACTTCAGGCTCAGCGTCGCTGTCGGTCTCGTACTCAGACGAGTCGACATCAATATCCATAGGGACCTGCACTTCAATCGAAGGGTTCGACATTCTCTCAGTACTGGCAGTGGCAGTTGCAGTTGCGGCGGTCCTATTAACAGTTGAAGTTGCCGATCTTGCGTTTCTACCCTTTGGTGGATTCTTGACTATCAGGCTACGGGTCATCGTAAGGATCTCCCGTATTGCTTTTTTCTATACTCTGCTAGTGCTTCCAGGGTTGGCTAGGTTCTTTGAGGCTCCGTGAAACGTGGGGACGGAGAATTGTTTTTCCGGCGCACTTGACAACTAACGTCCGATTCACTTGGATTCTGCAGTTATGTGGTGCCGGGTGAGAAGGTGTGATACTGGTAGCTGAGTGAGCGATTGTGACTTAGTATTGACTGGGTGGGAAGGCTGCTGTGTACATGTAGGTAGGAATGCCTGGTGAGTGATTATTGATGATCCGGCTGCCTGCCTAAGTGCTTCTTTGTCAAAAAGACTATAATTCAAGACTGGTCTGGTCGATGGTCTGTAGAATAAGAACCAGTGACATATATAGATGTATGAAGATAGAAAAAATCCCGCCCTGCATTAAATTGAGTGTCGTCAATAGTACGTGAAAGCTTAAATCATCAGTAATCAACAGCACCAGGATGCGTGTACGTATACGTATACGTTTACTACTATTGAACACATTGCTGAAAGCTGATTACATACATAAGTCCCAAAGCTTAACCTTGCCCCGCAGACATATATGCAGGAACGCCCCCCTGGGTCTGTATGGACACTACGGCGCGCACTATGCAGAACATAATGCCTACATGTAGATATGCTGTGCATAGAACGAAGTAGCAGCAAGGTTATGCACATCATGATGTACGTCTACTGGACGATCGATGATAACCGGTTGATCAATCAATCGCCATAGTGCATACATGGAGCATCACCCGCACTGCCACAGGAAGCAGTATCGTGGCATGGGCAGGAAAGATATATGTCTAATATTACATTCTAGTAGAGCCACCCCCCCCCCCCCCCCACAAGCCCCTAACCACCCACTCACTCACTCACTCACGTCCATCCACCTATTTACTCGGGCCCATCCACCCATCCACCCGTTCACACGAAAACAACCCATTCAAATGTAATTGTGATAGCCTTAAGGCTCAATGAGTTCACAGCAATAACCCTTTTCAACACATTCACAGAGGCGAGTGATATTTCATGCAACAACTATTTTCCCACTAACACCTCACATGCAATTTTTTGTTTTTTGTCGCCCTATATAAAAACAAAAAAAGAAAACAAGTGCGCAAAAAGTGAATGTGGAAGAAAAGAAAAAAGAAAAAAAAGTACCAACAATAAGAACGCCCAGAGAAGTTCCCCATATTCCCCTTCCCCCAGCTCTCTCCCCGCCCCCATCGATCTGCCGCAGTGTGTACTGCTGCACTGAGATAGGTATGGAAGAAAGAAGTAAAGCAGGCAAAGAGGCAAGCTATGGAAATCATCCCACATGGAAAGTCTCGATAGATCTGGCCCAGGAAGGGGAGAAGAAACAGAGAGCCAATAATGAAATGCAAGAAAAGAAAAGAAAAGATTCTAACAGCTAAACAACTAAAAACGAAGAAATCCATTATAAGCAAAGATGCCACGATAGTAACAGAAAACGGCCAGTTAGTTATAAAAAAGAAAAACTATAAATGCCACTAAAAAGTGAAACGGGGGAAAGGGAGACCAGAGACCGAGATCAGATCAGATCGATAATGCCTCTCATAACGGCAACGCCTCAATTTGCATCCTCATGACCGCACTCCTCATCAGCTCCTCCCTCAAGCTCTCACTCATCCTCACTGGCGGCGGCGGCGGCGGTGCCGGCACCGGCGCATCATTCGCCATGGCCCTCCTCATTTCCCTCCTTGTGCTGCTCAGCACCGCAAACTCATTCGCCAGCAGGTCGATCCTCGTCTGCATCGCCCTTAGCCTCGCCTCGCGGATGCGCAGGCTCGCAACTGTCGCGGCCGTAGCCGTGGGAGTTGGGGGGTCTGGTGGGGTGGTGGTGGAGTTTAGCATAAAGTCCTGCAGCGCACCGATGCGCCGTATCTGAGACACAAGTGTGTCAAAGCTGTCCTGGCGACTCAGGGGCGGCAGCGACGACGAAGAAGGCGGTAGCAGCGGTGGCCATGTAATTGATGGTACAGCCGCTACATACGGCCTATATTCCCCAGAAGCCCTCATCGGGGGCTGAACCAGCTGTGACGGCCCCGTGAGCACATCCGCCATCGGGTCCTCCCTGGGCAGCAACAAAGCCCCCGAGCTTGTAGCAGGAAGGGGAGAAAGCGGCTGCGGCGGTAGAGGCAACGATCCTGGCGAGACCCGGGCTCGAAAATTCCAATAGATCTCCGGGATCCTGTCCTCGTCGACCTCACCCTCCTCCTCATCAATCTCGTCCTGCTCTGCCTCTGGCCGACCCTCCCTCGGGGCGGCCGGGGGCACAGTACCAAGAATCCTCCTCCGCCCCGCCGGGGTATGGTCATACAGGCTGCCCCACCGTCCTGGCCTAGTCTCGGAGCCAATGCGCCTGCGCAGGGCCAGGAGGCCCTGGAGCTGGCGTTCCGTGCTGTCGCGGGTGCTCGTCTCGCGCAGGAACTCGTCGAGCGTGAGCATGGAGCTGTCGTTGCGCATCACCATTGCTTCTGGGCCGGCGGTGGAGGAGCCGGAGGTGGAGGAGGTGTGAAAGTTTGGGGGCGAGATGCACCGGGGTAGGACCGGCTGTTTGTTTGCGTCATCCGTGGAGTTATTTTCAGAGTTTCCCGGTGGTGGTCTCCATACTGGTGGGAGTTAGTTAGCTGTGGTACAGGGTACGTTTGACATAGGGGCAGGAAAGGAGCGAGAGAGGACGAGAGAGGACGAGAGAGAGGACGAGGAGACATGACGTACAGGGCCTACCCATGGCTGGGTGAGAGCTTTTTTAGGTGAGAGGGTTTGAAATGGCGGTTAGGCTGTTGGTTCTGGAGAGATTGTGGTTTGAAGGGAATGTGGGAGAGAGGACGAGGTAAGTCGAGGTGTTTTTATTGGGTGGATCGGAAAGACCACTGTTTCGTTCCGGGGTTCGTTGTGTGCGAGGGAAAAGAGTGTAAGGGAAGGGAGACAGAGAGAGAGAGGTTTCCCACCCACCACCCCTGCCCCATACACTACCTCATCGTTCAATGCTGAGCTGACCGTATGTATGTTTCCCTTCGCTCCCATTCGTAATCGCGGTAATCGTCATTACTACAGCTACAATTCCCCACGATGTACCCGGTACATGTACATGTAAGTAGTTATTCTTCCCTGTTTGTCTCTCTCACATCGTCTCCATCGCTTAATCGGTGTGTATCACCCATCAGCAGCTCAACCCTTACATATGCACAATTAAGTAATGATCGGACCCAGTTGAGACATCTGCTACATCTACTCTACCTACCTGCTTGTACTTCTATTTGGAGATGATTTTTCACTTTTGCCTTCATTCGATGGATGCTCACTAAATCAATATTTCTCATCCCATATGTATAAATTTAGGCAGTATCTATAATAATATGCATTCCACCTCGGCCCAGCTCATCCTCATCCTCATCCTCATCCTCATCCTCATCCTCATCCTCATCCTCATCCTCATCTCGATCTCTTCTACATACAACATACGCACTTCTTCCTGCATAAAACCCCATCTCGTCCTGCTGTATCCTACCCTACCCTACCCAAGTAGCTACATGTAGTTGCTAGCTTCAATGTCTACCATGATAATAACTAGGAAAAATAGTAATAAATAAAAGAATCCACCTTTGAAAGCTCTAGAATAGAAAATAGCTAGATGCTCTTTTTCTTTTCTTTTTCTTTTTCTTTCTTTCTTTGTTCCGTCCTCAATTAAGTAATCCATGAAAGAGCCCATGAAAAAGAATAAGAACCATAGAAAATAGCCTATAGCTAGGATAAGGAAGAAAAAAAAGAAAAAAGAAAAAGAAAGAAAGAAAAGTAAAATATAGAAAACCTCCAGAAAACTGGTATCAAAAAAGCAGTTGGAAAAAGGAAAGACGGGTAAAAAAAAAAAAAAGGAAAACACCCATAACGCCTCACACCATACGCACCCACGCTTCTAAATAATTGCAAGCACCAGCGCAGCCAACCCATATTAAAGCAATCTACAACATAACAAGTAACAGCCCGCTACGCAGACAAAAGAAGAAAAAAGAATAACCTACAAATATTCCCTCTCACCCGCCCGCGTCACCTGGCAGCAGCCTAATCATCGGCTATAGCCTGGCTCACAAAGCTTCTGTTCCCCGTCATCGGCCGTCCAACCTGACTGAACGAACTACCTCTCCGTCTCAACGCGCGCTTCTGCGCATCTGCTGCTTCGTTCTTATGGAGGCTCTCGCTTGGTAGAAGGATGGCGCGGTCAAGCTCGTAGGGAAGACCACGATGACGCCCACGTATCTGCATGGCGACGATGACGAGCTTGGAAACGACAGAAAATTGGCCAGTGAAAGCGGTGTTAAATCCGGGGTAGCCTAGGGACAGTCCAACGGTACCGTAGGCTGAGACGACCTCGAATAGGATTGCGAATGTCGTGAATGCCTGCCTGGTGTTAGCTAGGGTCAAGTATAAAATGTAGAAGGGAGCTTACGTAGTCACTATTATTCTCAATATGGCTACCCTCTGCAATTGTGATGATGAAGAGCCCAAGGAAGATGTACCACAAATCGAAGGATAACTGTTTCCGCAAATGTGCGCCGACGAAGCTGGTCTTACCATTCGCGGCCTCGTCTTCCTCGTCGCCGTTGGCATAAATACCAAGAGAGCTTTCTTCGTAGACATTGGTTTTACGGACAGAGATGGCGATGGGAAAGACGGAGATGTACATCATGACCATATAGCTGACCTGGATGGCAGGGTGGAGTTCTGCGAGGTTGACAACACTAGTTCCTGCGGTTCTTGTGCTCGCGGCTTGGAATATGGCGCCCATGATACGAGAACCAACAGGGATTTCGGTGACGTCTTTATCTTTAAGGTCTAGGACAATGAAGAGAATCACATCGGAGACATTGAGAAAAACAAGCATCCAGAAGAGCATCCAGGTTGTGCCCGAGGGGAAGAGGAGCGTGAAGCAACGGCGGGGGTGATCGAGAAGAAAGTTGAGGCACTCGCGATATGAAGAGCCTTTCGGGCAGATCTTGAAGCCAAGCCATATAATAAGACGGAGAAGACAGGGAAACCCGGTGTTGCCAATTACAATGAGGAAGGCCATGACGATTAGGATGAAAGTTGCCTGCTGGAACGACACCATGGAGTCGGGAGTGAGTGTGAATCCTAGATCACTGAACGCCGTCTGGGAGGTGTAGATCGCCCTGGAATTGGTTAGTCTATGTAGAGGTAGAGTGAGATATCATGTCTGGAGGGGGAATATCAATACACACCACCAGGTCGGATTCACACCAACAGATTTGACATAGTCCTTGTAACGGGTCACGGTATTAATCCAGGGGATAAAGCAAACGATCCCAAAGAGATGGAAGAACACATAGTATCCCACCAATACTCTTGCCAGTAACTTCAAACTCCTGTACTCGATACCCCCCAATTCGTCCCTCTGTTCATCAGTCAAATCCACGAAATTTGAATTCCTTCCCAATGTCGGCTGATAACTCAGGTATGGCATAACCGGGGGTTCCTTGGCTGCTTTTCTAGAGAACCGTGAAAGCGGGCTCATATTTCGTTTTCGGGGGTGGGGGCCCATAGCAAAAGCACTAGTCATTACACGTTCAACCGTCGAAGCACGGGGCAAGAATCGGTCAACCGTAGTGGAGACGCGACGCATACGCATATTATTGGATCCGTTTGTGGCAGCATTTCCTAAAGAGATAGTCCGGGACGCAGGAATGTCGTATGCACCCGAGCGTCCATAATCCGTATCACCGGTAGTGCGAGCACGGTGGAGCGTATTCGCATCATCATCCTCATCAACCTCGTGTGCACGATCACCCTGCTCAAACTCTCTCGGGCCGGGAATTCTTAGCGCTTTTCCGGAACTCGGGGCACGTCGATTCTCTGCGAAAGCAATATGGGGAGCACTTATGCTTCCCAGATCATTTGTTCTGGGCTGCGGTGATGGAAGGTTAACGAATTGGATGTTTCCATTTTCTTGGTTCCTCTGGGGCCTATCACCATCCATAAGTTCATTGCCACTATTCCCCATTTTAGATCTCAATTCATACCCTTCGGTTGAGGAGGACCCTCGACTAGGCGTGCGATCCCTCCCTTGTTGTTGTTCCATAAACGAGCTCCGCAAATCCATAGGTGAGAACCCCTCTTGCGTAAACGTAGAAAAGTCTGGAGTAACTTGGGTGGTTTCTGTAGAAGTACGTTCTGCCTCAACCCCCGGGGTTGGCTTGTCTGGAGACGGTGCACGGGATTCGCTATGGAGAACCTTGATTTCGCGGCCACGGACACCGCGTTCCTCACGATCAACATCTTCTGTGGGTGAGAACAGAGTGCCTGTTGAGCGACCAGTCTTAGCTCTTGAGGGTTGTCGGCTAAGTGCGACTACAAAATTGTCAATATTTCTTCAATCTGTAAATTTGGGGATCTTCATACCAATATTCTCGAAGCGCTTTTCAAACCAGTACAGTCTTACAAAAACGACGAATGTGTTGATAAATATCGGGGTTGTAACCAAGGGCACAATATATATCACAATTTGCTGATAAAGCTTGATAGTGTTGATGTCGACTCTAAAGCTCCCAATTAGTGCATGACCCCCATTGAACCCAACCACCAAGATTCAACATACGTATTTATACCTGACTGCGTAGCACTTCCACTGGCAAACACCAACGCATCGATATACGCCATGTTCTTCATGGGATATATTATCACCGAACCAAGTATAATGACGCTAACAATGTACAAATCTGTTCATCAATGGCACATGTGTGTTAGTTTTACAAATTCGAGTAAACAAAGCCCCTACTGTGCAATCACGTAAAATACTCTTCTGGAAACGGCAACTCACAATGCGCGGTGATAAAACTCAACCTGGGTCTGAAACTCCATTTTTTTGGCTCGCCCATATCTCTGGTACGGGGAAGAGAATGGGGAGGATGTCAAACAGAAACCTTGTGTTCTTGTATTTTTGTGTTACTCCCGGCTAATGTTGAGATACTATGTATCGTTGATGTTCTTCTGAAGGTTCGGCGAAACAAGTAATGAGTGAGGGCGAGACAACGACGAGAGAGTGTGATCAGGATCTTCTGGTTTCTTCTGCAAAACAACAACGTAGACTGGTGGCGAGGGCTGGAGGATTTAAGGGCAATTCAATAGTAAGGGACGCAAAGTGGATACCAGGCTTGAATAATAAATGAATTACCCGCGCTAGTGTATTTATCGTCAATGTACAGAGGTTACTGATTCAATGTGATAGAAACAGACATCTAGAGGGCTATTATCAACTTGACTTAATACTCAACAATCAAGATTCAAGAGGGAGGAGGTGCCGGGCGGAAGAAGTGGTGGCGGGCTGCGATAGGTAGGGACAAAGGAAGGGACGAATAAATCGATAATAATAGGTAATGATGGCAGTAGCAAAACGGTGTGTAGGTTGTAGAGTGACCAACTGGGTGAGATTGAGTTGAAAGAGAAAGAAAGAGAGCAAAAGGGTTCAGGTTTCAACTTTTGATTCGACTAGCTAAGGCAGCGGCTGATCCTTGGAGCTGGGAAAGAACGAACGCCTGGGTTCCCTATCGAACAGGTGTGGGACGAGTGGGAAAAAGGTCTAATTGACCAAAAGAAGGTGTCCCCATATCATGGGGAGAGATCGTTGGTGAACTCTCCATTATCCTCCTCCCGTGTACCATGACTTGGGAATGGGTTATTGCGTGTGGCGGTGTCCATGGACTCGCACCTACTGTCAGGCAGTGTACCCAGCATTACATGGTCTCACCAGGCACCATCTCGGACTACATACTCTCAGGGCTAAGATCGTGACCTTCATTAACGCAGATAACTCCTAGATCTTCCCCAGAATTGATCCTGGAGGCACTATCGCGCATTCAAATCTTTCGTGCAATTGTCCCAGTTCAACTCCCAACTCTTCCCCACCTCAATCTCCTCCAGCGGGGAAACGGGGGGATGGCATTGTGCACTGTGATGACGCGGGGCGGTGGTGGTGGTATTTTCTCCATATTTTTTTTGCTACGTGTTGAACCCAATGATAAAGGTCCTATGGGAGCTTACTTTCGCCCCCACATCACATATGTCGAGTCGAACTGCAGAGCTTCCTGTTTTTCCGGTGCCGAATGGAGTCGTCAGATAAAACCAACAACACTGCCTGAGCACTGCACCTGTCTGGGTCCTGCACACTGCGTCAAAACCGACATCCCGACACGTGCTTGCATGCTAAGTTCCTACTGCATCCTCAACCACTGAACTTGAACCTCTGCCCAGACGATAAATCATGTCTCGATACATTGAAAGGTACAAGATACTAAGACGCCCAGGCAAAAGTATACGTAGCACCGCCAAACCCCCAATTTCGATGCTTCTCCTTTTCCCTTCGTCGGCAGTCACTCACCCCTTCCCTTCCGCCGTAGGGCTCCTGATGCACCTCTTAGGTCTTCAATTCCCGGAAGCTTGTCCCTTGAATACCTAGAATTACTCCTGCTGTCCGATAAACTCGGCAATGCTTGCAAATATGTACAACAGCGCCAGGTCTCCGATATATCAGTCTCGGATCATTGGTTTCTTCTCCCCAACCCATCGCATCCGCAATTTCCGGCGGGAACGGGTTCTGCGCCGCATTCCGCCATCATCTGTTCCATCTTCCTCCAGGCAGGCATAGTGACAGATAAGGTAGAGTACAGTCGTCCGCCGATATAACGAACGCGCATATTCCGAAGTTTTCCGTTCGATACAGCAGATTATTCGGTATAGCAGGCAAGTTTCTATGTGAAATTTAGATTCGGATCACCGAAACCCGTTCGTTATAGCAAATTTGTGGCTTTTTTGGCATTCGTTATATCGGCGAACGACTGTACTACCTATTGTACTGACACAAGAATCTTACGAATCATAAGTGCAGATTCCCTTTCGATCGTCATCAGCCCTGCAAGTGTCGGGTTATTTGTGTACAAGTACATCATTTTTCAATGACGGCCGGTACTTATCCTCTTCTTGGGTTGGGCAGAGAAATAGAACCATGTATGATGTCTTGTAGTCTTTCAGCTGAAGACTCAAACATTTTTCCGAGGGGGGTGCGGAGGGAGTGGTGGACAGGCGTATGTATGTAGGGGTTGTTTAGGGGGGAGAATGCTAGGAAATCCCTTCTTTCATGCTCTGACTATTAGATTGGGAACCCCCGTCCATGTCTGAGCGTCAGCAAAGAAGCAAAGCCAAGATTCGAGACTTTCTTCCCTCGGACAGCCGCCTCACACAGATGCATCGCCGCTAACGTCCTCCTAACGGTTTCCGTCACACGCGATAAACCCTGAACCTCAAGACAAGCCTTTTACGTTCAGTGCCGAGCCGGGAGCTGCCGCAAGAGGGAAGAGCCTGGAATGTGGCCTGTAGGCGTGCCTGTTCTGCCGGAACAATATTAATCTGGTTGATAAGCCTTTGTAATTGTCTCGCTTTCTTCCTTTTCTTCCAGAGTTAAGGAAACGAATTGATCGCGTATCTGTTTGTTTAGTCGGATTTGGATCCTGTCCGATCAGACTCAGGAGACTCTAGTTGCCAAGAAATTTTTCTTTCCATGAGATGCAACCTCGATCACGTTAGTTGAGACCTCTCTAGAGGCCACCAGAAAAACAACAAAAGCATAAAAATCTAAACCCGATCATCCGCTCTCGACTCCTTACATGAAGAGGGGAAAAAAATCGCGCAACACACATATGTGCTACTAGGAAACAACGTACAAAACAGAACCATCATCTCCCCACTCCACTTTACCTATCAATCTGTGTTTGCTCACAAAGAGTTTGGACAACTAGAGTACATGGTAAGGTCTAAAGTGCAATATACTCGGAGGTTTAGCGCATAATATGCACTGCCACAGAGTACATAGGGCACATGTATCCTCATAGAATAATTATGCCTGTCAACAGGTATCACGATCGAACGTCATGATCACTCAACACTGTAATACCAAAGAATCTTAGAGTTCCATGTAACGTACCCCGCCGTTTTAACTGCATGTCGCCCGAGGAGCGAGATCATGCAGTGCACCCTCAACCCAATAGCACAAGATCCTCCAAACGGCACCTGTAACCTGGGCATGACATTGCCATACATTCCGTTTGTGATAGTCTACTTTGCTTTGACTTCTCAATGCTCACCGAGAGCGAGAGAGAGTAAGAAAATGCGGTTTATGCACTCGCAGCCAATTTCCAAGCAGACGAAAACCCAATATCTTATCTGTCCATCATATCATTACCCCCTTCTAACTGGTAAGTAGACGAACCAACCAACCAACCCCACAACTGCGAGCACGCTGCATATAACGTTCGAAATTGTGTGGACTCAGTCCCATGACTGAAACCAAAACTTAAACCTAAATCATAGAGACAAACACATCTGCATACATATACATACTTCTTCTCCCCCACGAGGAAATCGCTAATCGAAATGGCTGACGCTGTTTCCTTTTATTCTTAACCAACTCGTTATTGTCTCGACCGCCTGCCTGCCACACATGCAGATCTTACCTACGCTTCCCTCCACGCCGCGTCGATCCACCCATAAAAAAAAAGGGCCCAATTGCCCTATGCATCGTCCCGTCGTTTGCGCGCCTGGCGGCTCCCTCCTTAGTCAGGATGAGAATCTCTGATCAACCGTCGTTTCCAAAATACCATCATCCCACATCCAAAACACTAGATTGCAATTTTTACAGGATACAGCAGCCGTGGTAGTGTAAGTATATTTGAATCCGGGCCAACAGGTACCAAATACCTGGGGGTAATCGAGTGGACCACCACCCACTGCTCTTCTACCAAATGCACATAGATGGATGGATAGGTGGATCTGAGCTCCATGGAGTACTCTACTCTAGAGTAGGTACTCTAGCGCTCTGCAGGCCTCCGTTCATAACAAACGGAACGGAATGGAATTAGTAGTGGGGTGGGATATGGATACAGTACCCATCAGCTCCATCACACACGCACGCAGTCAGAAAAACGAATTCCCTTTGCTGCTTTACAATTAACTACGGTCTGTTATTACCACATCCGGGGAGATGGGTGCTGCGAGGAAAAAGTAGACCCTATCACGCAGCTGCGATTGTTGCAGGCGCAGAACGAGATCTTATGTGGAACATGCTGATCTTGGCATATGCACTTAGTTGCAGCTGGGAAACACGGTACCTCTACCCAGAGTATCTGGAGTACGTACTTCTGGATATCATACGAGAACGGACAGTTTACCAAGAAAGCCATGCATATACCTATGCCTGCTGATGTGAGAGCTCCTCCGCCAATCCAACGACCCTTGGTGTTCCGAATGGTAAGAAAGACACATGTGTGGAGAGATTTAAGGCAGGGCTAGAGGCACTAGATCCGGGATCCACTTACGTGTAAACTCAAGGTCGGAACGGATTAACACAACGGAGCGGAAAATCGTTTTCCCTAAGTGTGGCTTGAAAGCTTTCGGGTTTTAGGAGCCACGAGGATGACAGCTGACAGTCACAGTGGGTAGAAAAAGTAAAAATACAAGGTTTGATACCTATGAAAGAACGGAGAGGGCTGAAATTTCCTCAAATAACCCTTCGTGGGAGGGATCTTATTCGGCGCAAGTCTGCGGCACTGAGGCAAGTACTACATCATGTAGCTATCACTCTAGGAGAGCTGAAGGTAGAAATTCATCGT